CAGTTACAGTGCAAAAGTATACTTCAAGACACATGATGCTAACACTCATTATTTCTTTGTGTTAAAATGTGAATGTTTTGTGCATAGCAAAAGAAGTATGAATCCAAAAAATAATTGTTCACATTTTATCTTCAAGTTTAATATGTCTTTTTTTTTTCCATCACAGCTATTTACAAAGAACTTTGGGGTGCTCTCTTGATTTTAGTCAGTTCATTATAGTGGGGGACAGAAGGGCTGCTGGAATGTAGGAGACTGGATGGAATGCAGAAATATAAATAAGACCAACGTTCCACAAACCAAAGTGTCAATAATGCCTCCCCAGAAAAGTTGTATCCCAAAAGCACCTGTGTTTTGCTTTTTTTTTTTTTTTTTGGAATCATATACACCAGAAACGTGATGACTGAGACCTAACCTACCGCACACCAAAGAGGATAGAAAATAACTCAATATTTATAATATTAAAATAAAGTGTTTAACCACAAAAAAGCAGTAATAAAATAGTTTCCTAATTTACAATTTGCATCCAAAGGATGAATAACAACTCACTAATAAATAATATTTATATAAATATTTTGTATGTTGAAAATAGTTTTTTTAAAAGGCAATGGTCTCAAGAAACTTCTTGAAAAATTTGGTGGTGAAAAACCTGATTGTGACCCCCCTCCCCGCCCACTAAAACGAGTTTGGTTTTAATCCAATGAACGTGTCTTGCTATGAAACGGTTGTGCTTGGCGTTTGGTAATGGCAGTCGGTGAGTGTGGGAAGGATGAAGGAGGGTGGAAAAGGCATTGATGTGCTGTTCAGTTTTTTTTCTCCAGCTCCCTCTCTGGTTTCAAGATAAATACCTGTCAAGTCTTAATGTCGGAGGTCAGCTCTGAAAGGTAGAAAATCCTCCCTTAGACTGAAAATCATTTCAAGGTAACTGGAGTCAGTGAAGTGACAGGCAGTGAGTGGGAGAGAGGGTTGAACAGGTGCCTGGAGCAGAGTTCAGGATCCTGAATGAGAGCAGAGTCTGAGCCCCCAATGGAGAAGGGGTAGTTTCATGTGAATAGAGCCTTTGTTACGGTGATGTCTAGTAATGCTTGAATGGTAATGCCCACTTTGACCAGGCCTTTCTCTTCAAGGATGTGGTGGGGTAGACATAGCTTTTCCTAAAAGGAAAAAGAATAAAACATCAATTTTTAGATGATCGTACTCTCGAGTAAAATCATGCTGCATCACTGATGAAAATTAAGTTGAACACACTGTAGTATGCCTGTTTGATCACCTCTGCCTGGCTCTTTCCTTTGCTTTCAACCCACTGCAAAGACCTTTTCTGTGTTTGCAGAGAAAATATTGATTTTTCATACATGCAGGTTGTTTCAAAAAGGCTCCTCTTCATCATGAAGTCTGCAGATCTAAATATTTAAGAAAGTATTACATGAAATAACTGAGCTACAGAGAATCAGAGAGCACACACCAAGAATAGAATAGCTTCTAATAAAGCAAAATTGCAAATAGCCCTTCACACATTTAAAGGCACTCAGATATTCATTTGTACCGACCAAACATCATCCTACTGACCATAGACCTTCATTTAGTTCATTTTACTTCCTGTGATCTCTGGAACGTAGGCAAGTTGGTAGACTGGCAGCCTTTCTTCATGGTTTATGAACAGTCTTTATCAATGCGTAATTATAACTACGGTCCTCAATAGCCTCTCTTTTAAGACTCTTTCATAAAACTGTCAAAGACACAAATGCCCTGCTACTCTCTCATGTTGCATTTTTGCTGTTGGAAATGTCCAGGACATACTATTTAAGAAAAACAATAAAGGTGAGTCACTTCTTGTATGTAGAACCTTTCATGGTCCACAAACCAGTTTACAGAATAACACAATGAAATAATTTTCCACCTTTGTTATTTCACCCTGGTCTGATATCATTCAAGGGAATTGGTCTTCTTCCAGGGTGTGTCTCCTTGGCTGGGAAAAGACTCCACAGCAAATATTCTCTTATCTACTTGATGACAGTGTGTTTTCCACAGCCCAGTGTTCACTTTCTCTGTTCTCCAATTGACAGGTTAAAATATATCTATCTATATATATAGATAGATATATATTTATGGTGTCCAACATGATGTTTTGATAAAAGTATACATTGTGGAATGGCTCGGTCAAGTTAATTATCATATCTATTACCTCAGATATTTTTTGGTAGTAAGAACACTTAAAATCTAGTCTTTTATCAATTTCCAAGTATAAAACACATTATGATTAACTATAATCACCACTTTGTATCCTTTGAGCAATATCTTCCTATTCCCCCACCTCCCCACCCAACCCCTGGTCTCCACCATTCTACTCTCTGCTTTTGTGAATTCAACTTTTTTAGATTCCACATATGAGTGGGGTCAGGCAGGAATTGTCCTTCAGTGTCTGGCTTATTTTACTTAGTATAATATCCTCTAGGTGCACCATGTTGCAAATGACAGGATTTCCTTCTTTTTAAGGTTGAATAGCGTTTTTAAGGAGAATTTAAGCAGGATCTGCATCCAGCCCTAGGTGATGGAGTCACTGTTCAACAGGAAGCTATTTGGTGTACCCTGCATGGAAGGGCTTCTTTCCATGTGACCCTTGTTTGAGGAACTAGATCTTCTTGCTGCTTCTCCAAAAGTTACCAGAGACACAGGCGCTCAGCTTAAAAGGCTTTCAAAGGATATGCCATGACATCTCCAATAACTTGCTCCACTGTCTCAAATGTCAGTGGCTCTTACTCTCTCACCATCTTACTGTATCTACTTTTTACCCTTTCCTACCTTGTGGCAAATTCAGAAAACCTCAGACTTTGATGTAGGCCTTAGGAGATGGCCCCATGTCAACAGAAGACAGTTGATTCTTCAAGGAACAATTTTAACCATGACTTCATGTCACTGCTGTGTATCAAACTAGGATTATCTATGTCGTATCAAGTGAGCATGCAAGTTTATGCTGCCTGCCAATTTATTACCCAAGTGCCAACCTAAGAAAGTATGGGGAAGTTCTGTCTGAGTTGTGAATAGTGAGCCAGGCTGTTAATGATGGTGCCTCCTTCTGTGGCATGGTGAGGGATATCTGTGGCCAGATGACAGTGTCCAGTCTTCCCTGGCATCATCTGCCACGGGCTTGTGAAATTATGTGAATCTGGCATTTCATTGTTAAGGCAGGTTCCACAAGGGCGAAGACGTGTGTCATCCCCATTCTGTTGGCTCTGATAGCACCCAAGTGGACATCTGGCTTTGCCGGAAACTGTAAATGGCTGCTCAGTACGGGTAAGTTCCTGGTGCCAGGTATCACTTGGGGAAGATAAGTCTTCACTTCATACCATATGTTAAAATCAATTTGAAATGAAGAGTTGGATGTTTTAAAAAAATCGAATACTCCCCTCTCAATAACATAAAGGTGAATACTTAATACTTTTTTTCTGATAAATGGATGGGGAAGGATTTTCTAAACTAAAAAAGGATTATTAAAAAGTCACAAAGGAAAAGAGCAAAACAATTGATTACCTAAATATTTAAGGTTTCCATATGTTAAAAAAAGAAAAATCTGATTAATGAGAAGATAAACAAGACTGAGCAAAAAAAGCATTTGCATCAAATTACAAAGGGGACAATGTGTGTGACCTGGTCACCATAGTGAGATCCCCATTTCTCCAAAAAAAAAAAAAAATGAAAGAAAATTAGCTGGGCATGGTGGTGTGCATCTGTAGTCCCAGCTACCTGAGAGGCTGAGGTGGGAGGATCACTTGAGCCCAGGAATTTGAGGCTGTAGTGAGCTATGATTGTGCCACTGCACCCCAGCCTGGGCAATAGAGCGATACCCATCTCAAAAAAAAATTACAAAGCGTTTTATAGGATACATAAGCTCAACAATTCAGTAGGAAGAACACTAAGAAATCAATAGAACACTGAGCAAGGAATGTGAATAGAAATTTTTAAATGAGGGATTTGCACAAGGCAGTGCAGCAAGACATTTTGCTTTCAACCTCACTGTTTAGTTATGTGTAGTCTAGAATGTGCCTGAATTCTAGCACTGGTATTTCTATAGAGCCTAATCTCTGTGAACAATGCAGCTTATATGGAGCAAGGGGTCCTATCCTATGTCCTGAAAGGAGAGTGGCATGTGTCCTCCAATGAGGGACTGACCCCAGTGCCTGAAGAGCAGTGGCTCCAGTGACCTGCAGGGTTCTAAGCTGAAAAGCATGCGAGGGAAAGGCTGGGGGCTCCAGAGAAATAGGGAGAGGAAGGTATTGAAGCTTAGCCTCCTGCTAACAGGACATCTGGACACTTCACAGACAGTTAGGTGAAGGGCACCCTCTTTCCCAGGCCTGTTTTTTCAAGCAGCATTTCTTGCCTTCCCAGTCTCCACACTCCAAGCCAGGTACAGAGTCTGAGATCCTCCCTCCTGCTTGTATGGCTAGTGATGAGGAGTAAACAGAAGACATAAAAAGGTATGCCTTGAATTCTTCCTGCCTCTTTTCAGACCCCCAGCGGAAGCCCAGAGGTGCCCTCGGATTATGTTGCTGAGGTTGGAGGGATGTAAGAACACTTGCACAGGAAAACAGAAGACTTACATAAGCGTGGGTTTTCTGGCTATTTGATCACAGGACTGGAATGAAGATTCCGGTAGGAATTACACCTTGAGGTGCTGGTTGGACAGATGGCCAAGGGGAGGCCTCCAAAGAGGAGGCGTCCCAAGAAAGGGGTCTGGGCCATTTGCCATCACACCAGTCAGGACACTGCATCTCCCACAGAGCGGGGGATCCTTGAAGTGTGCATAGAAGCCGGAATTAGGAAGGAATCATGGTAGATTTACAGCCGGATGAGGAATGATCCAGAAGAGAAGGGCCCTCTAAGGATCAGGCAGATAAAGTGGCCCTTCCAGCAGGCCCCTTGTTCATAATGGACTTACGGCAGAGACAGCTGTACCTTTACATGGACTTGAAATGAATTTAAGTTGCACTGTTATAGGATCCCAGAGATTTTTTTTTGAGAAGGTGACAGCAGACTCTTGGTTTGTCCATGGGCTTTTTCTGTTGTTTCTTTTTAAAATACCAAGTGGAGTCATGAAGTAGTCTCCTGCATAAAAACAATGCTTCTGACTCCCTTTGAAGAACTCATGCTTCAAGTTACTTCTCCAATGGTAGAATCTATTAGCTTCAACCACATCCCCTCATCCATCCTTCTGAGCCACAGCAAATGAGGCTGGAAAAGACGGCAAGCCATAAAGACTACATGCTAACTTTGAAAAACTTCTGGGCTACCTTCTGCATGCCGGGCACCCACACTACAGCTTTGCACTAGTGATTTCTTTATGATAACCCTGCAAGACAGACACTAGTATCTCCATTTCACAGATGAGAAAACTGAGACAGAGAGAGAGCTCAAGTAACTTTGTACATTAAACGGCTGGTAAGTCCTGAAACTGAGCTTTGAACCACATGTGTCTTAGAGCCAGGGCTCTTTCCACAACACTATGCCTCTTCCCATAAATCCCTTACTTAATGGGTGAATATGTTAGGTCTGTGGTCATGATATAGGAAGAAGTCCCTTGGCTCCTGGAGTTTTTTGATGGCAAGTCTCATCAATTTCAATGTCAGGTGGGACCAGCAAACCCTCAACTCAGTGTCAGGGTTGGCTCTGCCACTTAGCTCATCTTGTCCTGGCAGAAAACACCTGGTGGGAACAGGATGAGCTGGCACTGCCTGGCTCTCCCTTCTATAGTTTCTTATGCTCCCAAAGAGACACACACTTACTTCCAAGCCATTCACTAGCCTAAAATGGCATCATCCACACCAGCGTGTTTCATTTTATTCAGGTTGCTGCTTATATGACGTCCTGGCACCACATTGTTTGAGCCTTAAAACTATCTGCACATTATTTTAATGTATGAGAGCTTTAATTTCTGCATCAGTTTCTTCAGTGTGAAATGGAGACCATTCAACATTTTACAGAGATTTCTTTTCGCTCCTCCCTGGATTATTCACTTTGCAACCATGCTAACTTCTAGTCCTTCCTCTCTCTAGGACATTTCATTCTCTACACACACATATGCCTCAACCCTATTCCCTCTCCTCCCCACTTCACCTGGTTATTCCTGCACATTTACTGTCTCAGTGGAAACACCACCATCCCAGGGTGTGTTCGTGGTCACTATTCCCCATCAGGGTCAGGCTTCTTTTCCAGAATCCTGTACCCGTTCTACCACAGGTACTTATCAGTTGAATTACTCTGTACTTGTCTAAGGACCCACGAGATCAAGAGTTGGCAAATGATGGCCTGCAGCTGGTTTTGGTAAATAAAGTTTTCCAGGCACACAGCCACACCCATTTTTTATGTATCATCTATGGTTGCATTTATGCTACACAAGCAGAATTGGGTAGTTCCAACAGAATCTGCATAGCCCAAGACGCCTAAAATGTTTACTTTGAGGTCCTTTACAAAAAAAGCTTGCCGACTCCTGGTATAGAGGGTAAACTTTTTGAGGACCAGGCCATGTGTCACACTGATCTTTTTATCCCCAGGGCCTTGCAGAGATTGCTCATTCAATATTTATGGAATGAATGAATGAACACAAAAATGAACAAGTTGCAGTGAAAAGCCAGGAAACTAGACTCTGATCATTTTAAAGAAGAAAGAAAATGGCACATTCTATATACCAAATTGTTTATTGAGAACTAATTTTGAAATCTTAAGCCTAAGTTTTAAAAACCAAGTCTCCTGAAATAAAATCATATTAAAGTATTTTTCACCTAATCCAAAACAACTTTCAGTTTCCTAAAACTGTAAAATGTCATCCCTACTTTTTCCCCATAGGTAAAGGCGAAACACCCTTTTTCCCTGTGACTCAATCAGGGATCTACATGAATTTTCAAGAGAGAACCCAACCCACCACACACTAGTTTTAATTTCATACAAATAGCAGCATGATATCAAGTGTCTTTATTTATCTGCTCTCATTGATGAAATTTCTACTCAGTTGTCATACATTTTAGTTCTGCGGGGCCCTTTCCCACCAGCCCCATTTCGTAAGTGTCTCTCCCTAAAAATTACAAACCAGAAAACCATAAATAGAAAAAGCATTTAGAAATTAGGTGTTGCAAATTTTGGAAATCCTGACACTGAGCGGAGAGTTGACCCCAGTTGGAGAAACTGGAGAAAGAGAATACAAATGGCTATTTCTAAAGGGAAACGTGAATAGATACTTGGCTCCTTTTGTCTGACATTGGAAGGGAGTACTGAAAAAATGGTCTTTCTTGTGAGAAGGAGGAGATTTAGTAAGCACAATAAACCACTCAGTTACATCCCCAACTACTTCTCAGACTCTAAGGAGGTCAGCTAGGTATCCCCAGTCAAGCTGCAAGGGCAGGCACCAGCAGGCATCCAGTTAGCATATGGGCTAGTACACGGGTATCTTAGAGAAAAACCACAGAGAAGCTTAACATTCTGATTAGAAATTAATGGCTTGGCAATGGGCAGAACAGTTCATTCAAACTTTTGTCTAAAGGGCTAAATTAATTGTGTTCTGCTAGTTACCGAACTACTAATGAAAAAATATCATCCAATAAATCCCAAGAAGGGCAGTACATTAGAGTACAGATAAATTAATGACACAAAAAAATCAAAGTGCGTCCAAAGAATACTTTGGATGCCAGAATTAAAATATAAATGTCTTTTGTCTTTAGCATGTTTTAATTGAACACTATGTCAACACTGAAAATTAAATCTATTCTTACATGAGCGTCCTACTCAGTTTTTATTGATATTATTGTCTTTAAGGTGGCAACCCAATACGTTTTCTCTTTTTTTCCCATTTTCTTCCCAGAAAGAAGGGAAAAACCACCAGAGTGGTGATCTCTAATGCAGTGCTCTCAATGCACTGCAGAGCCGGATGGGAATGCTGAGAGCCCATGAATACAGGTATCAATGGGCATATAGAAACTTGGAATAATCACCCAAAATGTGTTTATTAAGTAATTTATGGCTCAGGGTGCTCATCAGACATTGTACAAAGGGATTTTATTGTGTTACAGATTGAAGAGTACAAGATAGCACCAAAAGTAATTCAGTACATCTGTGGGTTATTCATACACAGCTGAGGTTAATTAGATAACTTCCGCATATCCTGTATTTTACCAATCAACACAAAGTCAGGAAGAAAAAGCTCACATAACTCAAGATATTATCATGTGAAGAATGTTTCCCATTAACAAATCTGATCTGACTTAGCAGCAAGGAATCTTTATAAATATATTCTTCTAACTATGTGGTCTTTCATATTTTCAAGTCCCCTGGATTCATGAAAATGTTCAGAAAAATAAGATTTTCTTCTTAGTAGCCATCTTTGGGGGCTGTTTGCATCTTAATAAACTAGAAATTTATCTTGAGGAAACCAGCTCCATCATCTCCCCAAGCTAAGAAACAGGATTTGGCAAACAGCATGTAAAATAAGGAGGCTGTCTTGACTTTGGAACAATGCCTTCTCATATTATACAAAGACACCCCTGAATCCAGGGATGTTTTGGCTAAGATAAAATTCTTTTTTTTCCTTTTCAATGCAAACTGATCACATTGCTCCAAATGCAGATATAGTTACTATATAATCCTTTGAGCTGACTTAAAAATAAAGCAGTTTGCTAGATAATGTCACTGAAAATCAAAGGCTAAATGAACATTTCAAATAATTAGAGAAACTACATTCTTCTAAAATGAGAGTAATCTTCTTATTGATTCCTGCCATTGTAACCCAAGTCCCAGGACCAAGAATGTTCCATGACTCGTGGCTTTATTTGAAAATGAATACAGTCAAATCCATCACATTCTGGACCTGCAGTTATTAGGTGATATGGCAAAAAAGCAACGATCTGTTCCACTGTTCAAAAATAGAAATCCTTCTGGAAAATGCTTTTCTAAGAGCCTCAAGAGTAGACCTAACAAGGAGTTAAGCAGAAAAAAATTGGTGCTTAAGTGATTCCTCCACGTCAGGCTCTAATAGGAATGATACTTCCTTCCCTGGAGCGCTCTTCTGCATAAGGTAGAGCGGTCTTCCGGGGTGGAAGTGGGCAGAAACATTGCCCAGTATCCTTCGTGGCTCCCTTTTCAGGAAACCGGGAGGAATCCAATCAAATGGCCATCAAGGCAGTACAAGTACGTGTACACCTCCAGACAGTATATTCAACTTGGTCCATAGTGGTATTATTAAACCTCTGTATAGATTAAATTGGGCCAAAATGTTGGTTTTCTGTCCCCCCTGCAAGGTGGCCCCTATACAGCTCAATTGCCCAGTCCAGAATCAGAATTCTAGTTCAACACTGACCCAGATGAAAGACGTCCATATGCTAAATCCCTGTGCTGGACACTCCTGTCCTGGAATCCTCCTCCCCTCTGCCCAGGGCAGCAGCTCACCAGGAGGGAGAGGAGGACCTGCGTGGCACTGCTGCTGGCACTATGTGGATGAGGACACATGCGGTGCGCATACACTTTGCAGTTGTTGTTTTTCAGTGAGAGAAATGATACTAAACTGTATCTACAAAGTTTGTGCTTCTGGAAAATCTGATTTGGTAATGTTCAGCTTCAAAACTCGAGAGATTACTGAAGATGTGACAGGGATGGGAGTTTGCAAGGCAAAGGCTTAAAGGGAGGAAGGACCCTGCAAAGGTTGAGGGTGACAGAGAACAGCGTTTGGATGCACGTGCAGACGTTAGGCGGACAGAGCGTTCCAGTGGTAAGTGATATAGACCAGCACTATAAAGAGAATATGGACAAGACAGAAGCCTATAAGGTCCCTGGAGCGGAGGGCAGAAGTTGGTGGTGGGGCTTTCTCCCCGAGTGCCAGCAGAGTGTCAACAGTCTTTCGAATGTGACGAAAATCCAACTGCAGGATGTCATACGGAGAGCAGAGGTCAGCCTATTCCGAGGGCAGCCGTTAGAACAGAAAGAGACAGTGCATACAATTAAAAATACACGGAGGAACAGCTAGAAAGAAGCACACATTTTTGGTTACTAGCAATGGCAGGAGTAACCCCTTATTTCAAGCAGTTAAGACCCTTTCATCATCAAAGATTTTTTTAATCCATCATAACAGCAGAATAGTGGAACACTTATTTTGTGCCAATGGGTCAAAGAAATCCTTCACCCGCAGTCTCACCATGAAGGAATGACGTGATCTGCAATTTATACATCATTCTGCCATTCACACAGTTCGAATACTCAAGGCATCACGTGCTCACCAGCGGCATAAAAAAAAGAGATTTTCACTTGGGACAGCTAGAACTTAACCTTACTAACCGAAAAACTATAAAGTTTAAAATTTAATCCCCACCCCTCCTCTCCATTCTCTTCGTGTATCTTTTACCCTGGTCTTGTAGACTTGGATATAAAGTAGTTCTCTCTGAAAGTTAACACACGCATCTAATATTTTTTCGTTTTAGGCTTGTTGATGAACTCTGGGGAATGCTAGTTCTAAGTATGTACCTACATGTGTCAAAGTATATTACATTTCATATTTTTGCAACATTAACCAAAAGTGTAGAGAAGGTTTCTGGGATGCATGATGAGAGTAGAGAGTAAGGCACACCCCACAGGGAGTTCTTATGTAAATTCCTTCACTACCAAACAGGTATATTGGGGTGGGGGAAAAGACGTCTGTGTTTTATGTACTCAATAGTTGCCATGTAAGGAAGCAGAACACCTGTTTTTCAGCTAAATGCAAACTAAGAGGTTCAGTTTTCTGAGCTGACTTCCAGCAGCCTATTGCTGTCAGAAAGCAAACGACTGTCTCCTATGCTGAATTTCTTAACTGGAAATGGCCACAGTTTAAAATTAACACAGTTTAAAATCATACTTGATATGTTAGCAAGCAAGAAAAGCTGTGGTTTTGCTTCCAGATTAAACAAAGATTGAAAATATTTGTGATCTATTTCATAAATGCAGTTTTATTTCCAAATTAGGTGAGGCGTTCAAGATATATGTTATATATATTTTACATACTTCGCTACAATTTTGTCTTTTATTTTAGCCTCATTGTTAAGCAGATAAATCATGGAGCTACTGGAAGATAATTCCAAGTGAGAAGTTTGCCTCACTTGTGTCCTCTGAAGTTAGCATGACACCCTCAGTTAAGTAGGAATACTACAAAATTAGGTTGGTTGAATAAGATCAAAAACATGCTAATTTTATTAATGCAGTTAGAGATACTCTTAACAACATATTTTTAAGATTGATAAATCATGTTGTATGTATTCAGATGTTGCATCTTTTCCCAGTGGATCTGCAGAAATCAAGCTACCACTGTTAAGAGTTCTCCCAAGAATTAAAACAGCTACACATAAATTGGAATTCACTGGGCGACAGATGCTGCTCATGGATTCATAGATGAGGAAACATCTAAGAAAAGTTTCCATTGCAATAAGAATTTTCTATTGCAATGTTGTGCTTGACCAGTGAAATCTGGGCAAAGTAGCGGTAAGACAGAAGACTGATACGCAAACTGAAATGTGATTTTCACAAAACTGCTATTTTCATGTTAAAAGCAAATGATTCTATCTTCAGCAAGTATTTCAATACATTTCCCAGAACCCTAAGGAACATGACTGGTCTGCTGTCCGGCAGCACCATCAGAGAACTAGAGTCAGATCAGCTTTGCAGTTTTCAGTAGTACACTCCTCACGGGGCAGCCAGCACAGACCGTTCTTCTCATCCAGGAAACAATTTCATGATGCCATGGGCTCTGGGCTTAATTAAAGTGGGTGAGACCTAGAGTCACGGCCTATGGTGGTTAATTTAAATTAAATTGTGATCTCTAACAAAAAAGAAATGGATCTAAGACTGTCTGGTAGCAAAAATCTGGGCCACTGTGATGAATGTGTGGAGTGCGAGCTGCTGTGGCCATCTGAGAACTGCTCTCTGGCTCAACCCGATGTCATACAGCCAGCGGTCACATTCAGCCCTTCAAATGGGGCCATGAAGCAAACGAGGGCTGAGTTCCTAATTTCTGACTAGGATATTCTGCCCTTTGTGGTTTCCAAAATTTATCCTTACTGAGAGGGACATAAAAATTATACTTTATTTCTTTATGAAAATTAAAATTGGAAAATGCTAAAAAGGAAGGAAATTTAAAGAGGCAAAATTTCACCGTGTATTTACAGAGCACTTGTAATCACAGCAAGGTGTTTGTCAACACAGTTAATTCGAGTCCCCAGAGGCAAGTGCAGATGCTGATTCCCATTATAGTGAACACAAATCACAATCACCAGAATTTAAGAGGTTCACTTAGGTTGCACACCGCCAGAGCGTGTAACCGAGATTACTACTGGATCAGCTTCCCCAAATACTATGGAAACAAAGAGAAATGCAGACAGATCAGGCAGTTCAGGGTGTACTACAGTCTAAATTCTAAGGGCTAAACATACCTAGGAAAAAGTTTTATTTAAAACTTTGGAATATATTTACTTTATTAAAATATATAATTTTAATGTAAAAAGTCAATATGCTTACAAAGTATTTTGTAATCTAAAATATCATAACACAAGAATGTTCATGGTCATGCTGCAAAATTTAAAGCCATAATTCAGGGATGAGGTATAATTTGGCAGGGAGAGCAGAGAGGCGGGGAAGGATTTCCAGTCCTCTCCAAATATATGACAGCTCATTGCCAATTTTATGGCCTTAGAGAAAGCTAGAAATAGCTTGGAAATTAGTTGCAACTTTTATAGCTAAAAGAGTTAGATTGGCTCTTTTTAATAAATTATGATTTTAAAAATTGATGTTAATAAAGCAATAAACCTGTCTTTATTCACCCTTAGAATTAACGAATATACATGGAAAATTAAAATAAATCTTGTAACAAGAATCTCATCCTTCCACAAAGTGTTAGTCATGATTTAAGTTAACACTAATGTCATCGACTTGGGGAAGAAAGAGAAGTATAAGGCTCAGAGAAGATAAGAAACTTATTTCTCCTATTCTCAAGATTAAAACAAAAAAAATGTAGCTTCAATTTGTAGATTGTCTTTCAAAAAACAAAAACTTCAATCATCAGTTACATACATATAATTTCCTAAACCCTGACAACAAGTATAAAGTGAAAACACTATTATGACTTTCATATATACAACCTTTAACACAAAAAATGCAAATATGAAATTTATTAAAGTTAAGGAAAACTCAGCCATAATTCCACTTACATTAACACAATTATCATTAACATCTGAATGTACTTTAGGGTTTTATTTGTAACTCCCTTTGGCTGACGCAGAAGCTCAAGGATGCCAAGTGACCTGCCCTTGCGCATGTGGAATGAAAACTTTCTGCCCCCTCCAGCACTCTGAGCTGCCCAGATAGGCAGGAAGGCGCCCTCAGCTTTCAAGGAGTCTACCACTGTCAACTGAGCTGCCACCTTTAACCTTCTCCTCTATCTTTTCTCTGGAAACAGTAAGGAAGATGAAGGACTGAGCATTTAGACAACAGAGTACATTTCTATTCTAATTTCCCTCATCTAAAGAGGGCAGGTCTGCTAAACTAAGGACCTCATGCCTTACAGAAGTTTGAGATCAAAGTTACCTATTTAAAATTCAGTAGAAAAATTTCCCTGGTGAACCAAATGCCTATTTTTTAGTATTTTTGATGCTTTAAAAATTAGATTTCTCTCAACCTGAGAGAATACTAAGAAGAGCCCTAAATTAGCCCTAAAATTGGATCCATTTGAAAACCCCAATAGTCAACCATGAACTGTACCAACTGTGAACATGTAGCCAATCTGCTATGTAGACGTCAGAGGTCAGGAATCTCCAAGAGCACTCAGAAAAGTCAAAGGAAGCCCCAATGTATCCATTAAAAGTCTCATGGGATCAAGGCCTAATTGGAGTCAGACTCTCAGGTGATGGTAAAAATATACCCCAAAGAATTTGGAAGCCCACCAAGGCCTGTCTTCAAGACCAAGTTGATGCTTGCACTAGACGTTGAAGACAGCTGCAGTCTGACCACTAAGCATCAACACCACAAAGGGATGTGGGATAGTACCTTATGCTGCTTATAATTCTGAATGTGGCCAATATGCATTTATGAATAAGCCACACCAGAACTTCTGTCTTTCTTCCCTATTGTAAAAAGTGGGCTTAAAATGCCACCAAGGGCTGGGCACAGTGGCTCATGTCCATAATCCCAACACTTTGGGAGGCCAAGGCGGGAGGGTGTCTTGAGCCTAGGAATTCAAGACCAGCTTGAGTAAGATAGTGAGACCCTGATCTTAAAATATCATAATAAATTTTTTAAATGTCATGGAGGGAAAGCCTTACCCACTAACCTTTACTATTTATTCAGCCAGTTTAGGTAGTATACTGCCACAACCTGCATAGACACATTGCCTGGATATCAGAGAAACCCCTGGTTCTAGATGCTGAAGCACACACAAGCGCGTCATGAACCTTGACCAACCCTGGAGCAAATGCCTGGGACTGCGTTTATGCGGACTTCTAAAGAAAATAATTTATTATTATTATTTCCATCCCATTTTATTACTTTACGTGTAATAATTTAACTAAATCTGCTCAGCTACTGTATCCCATCTATATGAATGTGAAAAAATTATACAAACTGCTGACTCTGACTTTGGTTTGTAGTTTCAAACTGTGTTTCTATTACAAAGGACAATATCTTTTAGGTTTAAGAACACAGCTGTGAGTTTTCAGTATCTACAGGATGTTTTCTCATTGTCCATTAGATATTTAGCTTATAAAATGCAGAACTCAAGATCTCTGTGGCTTGTGTATGTGTGTAGATAAGTTATAGATGAAGAAGTAAAAAAAAGCTTGCAAATTAGGGGGAAGTTACTATGCTGACTACTAGGAAATCGATGACTAATTTGTTACTCAAATATTAAACTTGGTGCAATAAGAAAAGGTAATGATATAGGGTCTCTTTTTTTTTAGGTCTTTAAAAATGCCTTTTAAAATGTCTAATTGTAGACGAATTTCTGCAAGTGGTCTCATGATATGATGATATTTTTAGTGTAAATCATTGATTGCACTGTGCCACATATACACTCAGGCATCAACCCTCCTAGGTAGTGAAGAAGAATAAATATCTAAGGGGGTGTGGGGAAGTCGTCTGGTCCCTCAGCTTAGTGTCATATTCCTAGACAAGAACACTTCCTCATGTACTCTGCGAGATGAAAACATGTTGTTTTGAGTATACAGGAAGATGCCAATTGCCTTCCAATGGGAATTTCTGATTTGTCACTAAATATTCTTTACTTACTTTAACATTCTCATTGAAGAAGTTCAACTGTTAACATACTTTTTTTTTTTTTCTAGCAGCGGTGAATTTAAACTCTAGTCACCAGTAAAATGCTATTGGATTATCCATCAGGATAGATACATATGTGTATACACAGACAAACACACACACATACACACATAAGGGCAAACTTGAAAATCACCTCAGCCAGGCAGGGTGGCTCACGCCTGTAATCCTAGCACTTTGAGAGGCCAAGGTGGACAGATCACCTGAGGTCTGGAGTTTCATGATCAGCCTGGCCAACATGGTGAAACCTGGTCTCTACTAAAAATACAAAAATTAGCTGGACGTGGTAGCCCGCGCCTGGTAATCCCATCTACTTGGGAGGCTGAGGCAGGAGAATTGCTTGAACCTGGGAGGCGGAAGGTTGCAGTGAGCCAAGATTGTGTCATTGCACTCCAGCCTGGCCAGGCAACAGAGCCAGACTCCATCTCAAAAAAAAAAAAAAAAAAAAAAATTGCCTCAAACCTTTAAAATAATTCCAAAAATATACTAAGTGATACTAAACATAGTTAAATGGGACATTGGCAGAAAAAGATCATTCACTGCCTGTATTTTAACCTTCTCGGGAATTATAAATTGTACATTAGTGCCAGGGGCATCTTCAGAAGTTATGACAAATTTTGCTCTGCATTTTAATGGTAATTTGATTTCCTTTTCTTCACTTTAAAAGGAAATCTTAATTACCAATCTTTACTCACAATAATTGGTTAAGGGCATTTCCATTTTATTTTGTATCACTGTAAGCCAAAAAGCATTGACGAGTTTTAAAAATCACAGGGAGTTAGGTCATAACCTAATGACCCAAAGTACTGATGAAGTGCTTTCTAGCACAGACACGAATAATTTATCATCGGAAGGTTGGCATGAGAGTTCTGATTCGCACATGGGAAATCTTAGCAGCGCATGACAGAAGCAAATCATTAGAAAAGGGATGTAAAGTACATTGACATATATATTCAAAGCCAAGAAAGGTATATGCAATATTAAAATGTACACACACAATAGACACGCAGGTTATAACACTGCTGAAGCAGAATAGACCATGAAGACAATCCATTATATACAATTTACACTCTTTAAAATATAAATTTGTAAGCATCCTTGTATTGCTACAGCTCTGACTTAAAGATGTTTTAAATAATGCTCTCCTTTTCCTCAAATAAGATGGGAAGGCTACCACTCTCTCCCACCCCTGAATCCCACCAAGCTGAATAAAGAAGGGAAGAAAGTAAGAAAGAAAAAAAAAGGGAATTATGGAGAGAGAAAGGGAAAGGGTTGAAAAAGCCTTTGTCAATTTCAGCAATTAATTCCTATCACTGAGTGGAATTATATTGAAATATAATTCATATACTCAAAAACAGTATCTCAGGTATTTTAAAAATTATTTTCTCCGTGGGGCATTAAGATAGAAGAAATCATAAGAAACATAACTTCTGTCAATTTCTGTTTATCACAATGATGATAAACTTCTCAACTTATACAGCTACTCCATATTCTGAGTGGATTGCCTTATGTCTGCCTAAGAAATCAGTTTATGTTATAAAAGCTTTGGGCCCAAAGCAAACTGAAGGAGAAAATGAAATGCAAATATTTAACAAGCTGTAAAGCAACATACAAACACTGCTGTTATTAATGATAATCATTAGTGATAATAACAATATAATATTTCCAATGTTTATTATTTTTATCCACATATGGAAAATACAACTACAGAGAATGATAATCAATCAGTAGGTCTTTGTTTAAGAGCCTGGGATAAGAAAACCATCAGCTCCAAGATTCTACTCTACGAAACCTGAGAGAAGGCTCACTTGCGGCCTCAGCGGTTTCTGCTCTTAGAGAATCAAGTGGATTAAGTTTTTTTCAAGTTTGAAACTTCACACTTACTTCAAAATCTTAAATTATTTCCCTTTTTCCTCAGAATTGCGTACATAGTCACTTTGATTTCACTGCAATAGAGCAATTTAGATTAAAAGTTCATTTATTTACATAATTTATTCAATATTATTCCTCAATAAACGCTGAGATGAAAAAACATGTACAAAGCTTTGCATCAATTCAGTGCTTCAAATTCAGATAGTAAATAACATTTTTACTAAAACACAGTTATATGAAGTAAGTTGGATGTTACCTCTGGCACTCCTAATTTTCGGCATGCTTCCAGAAAGTTTTCCACATTTCTTCTGCATTTGGCCATGCTGAGTTTGGGCTATAAATGCAAATATACAGAAATCATGTATTATTAAAAGAGAAACCATTTTAACAGCAGGTTAAATTCTAAACTTTCTAAATGGCACAAGCAATATGTGTTTATTGGAGGAAAAGAAAAAACACATAAGCAAATAGAAGAATACAAAATATCACCCCAGAAATATCCATCTTAGATAAAAACTGTTAATATTTTGGACTTCATTCTTCCAGCTATTGTGTTTGTGTATGCATACACAGATATACATATATGAGTACATATGTATATAGATGTATGTATATGACATATATACACTGATGTATATGTTGCAAAATTTTCTGCATATATGTGTATATATGTGTATGTTCATATATATGCACACACACATACACGTATATATAGTTTTTATGGGATCATACTGTTGTATAACCTGTTTTAGTTCACCTAGAGTACACCATAAACATCACCTTTCCCGTCACATATATACTATACTTTTTTTACATGAGACGTTTTGAGCACTTTGCTGCTAAATTGTAATATTCCTCTGCTATTTTCCTTAGGAAAGAAGGTAAAGAGACATGACTGATTCCAACCATGTAGGTGGAGGAGCCACTGTGACAAAGACTGGCCTTGTCCTGCTAATAGGGAGAATGATGTGATTCCATCTTACAGTGGCACAAAGCAACGATCACCAAAATCTAATTTGTACAGCATTTATTAAATACGAAAAGAAAAACCCTGCCCAAAACAGAAAGAAGCCTGTTGCCCTGTGAAACAATTTAGGTTGAAGGCTAAACAAATATTCTCTATGTTAATTAGGGAGGAAGTCACACCCCTCACAGGGGCCCTACAAAAACGTCACCAGCAGCCACTTGGATAGTTCTGCCCACCCCCTGGCATGTTTTAGGGCAAGATCACTGCATTAATCCTTGTGCAAATAGAAGGAACAGACCTGAGGAACATAACATGAAGATAACAGAAGAATAGGTCACGGACCTGGCAGGCTCATATATGAAGGTGCCAAGAGGCATTTCATCACGCTGAGACCCTAGCGTTTGTCTCTGATCCTCTAGGCCCATTGTCTTCCTTCACTTACTTACGACTCAGCTGAGTCTTTTCCGAAACTCCAAAGATGTCCAACATCATCCCAAATATGTAGGGCAGCCCCAAGAAGTTAATGGAGAGTGTGTTTCAAGGTACAGAAAGATAATTCTCCCTTTTTGGGAGTGAGGGAGGGCATCTTCTAAGATTGTTACTTAGCTTCAGGTAGAAAAGTACTTGTGACAAACAAAATGGTTAAAGCTTCAACCTCACCACTGGTCCAATAGTTAAAAATTATACCCATTATACCAATTGGGATGCCAATATTTTGCTTATCAAATTGTCAGAGACTGAAGAAATTCATTTTTCTAAGGAACAGTCTCTAAGCATATTGACAATGATAGTGATTTTGTTCACTACTGTATTCCCTCAGCTTGGCATAAAAAATGGACAATATTAGCTTCATGAATGAAGAATTAGAATGCTTTTGCTGGTGATAATACTGGTAGAAAAGGTGCACTCATCCTTTGCTGCTGGCAGATACGATTGCATTTATTGCTTTACTACAGGTCAGATACTAAACTTGGTGCTAAAGATACATCTGTGGAGACAAAGACAAAATCCCCAGGCTCACTTAGCTCTACTGGAGCTGGAAATATTAGCAAGCTAAAGGAAAGTACAGTATAATACAGGAAGTTCTTAGTTGTGATGGGGTTGGTGTGAGGGAAAATGAACAAAGGAAGAAACCCAGTTCTAAGAGGTTGAGAGGTTGAGCCTTCTGAATGCTGAAACAGAGAAGGAAAGGGAGCTAGTGGTGCTGAAGGGTCAAGATTTTGGGGGGTAGGTGAAGCACGGCTTTCTAAGCAAAGGGAGATGCCTGTGCCGAGCCTGGGGAAGAGAGCAACGGCAGAGAAGAGAGAAGGAAAGCAGGTTTTATGGCTACGGCGTGGCTGGGCCTGGCCCAAAAGGGCTTCAAGACGCTTGTTGAAGAATTTTTGATAATTGGACATTTAGATAGAAGTGGACATTTAGAAACAAATTGCATTTCTAAAAAGGAAAACTGCAATATAATAAAACAGGCTAAAATATGTTATAGTTAATCAAATAGGTATTTATGAAGTTTTAGGCTGGGCGTGGTGGCTCCCACCTATAATCCTAGCACTTTGGGAGGCCAAGATAGGCAGATCACTTGAGGTCAGGAGTTTGAGACCAGCCTGGCCAACATGGTAAAATCCCATCTCTACTAAAAATACAAAAATTAGCTGGGCGTGGTGGCGGGCACACGTAATCCCAGCTACTTGGGAGGTTGAGGCACGCTTGAACCCTGGAGGCAGAGGTTGTAGTGAGCCAAGATTGTGCCACTGCACTCCAGCCTGGGTGACAGAGGAGACTCTGCCTCCAAAAAAACAAACAAACAAAAAAAAAATAAGAGAATTTTAATGACATGGGGAAATATTTAGGTTTCAATAATACATTTAAAAATTACTAGTCTATAGGAGAAGCTCATAATTAAAAACCAACTTAATTTTACAAAAACTGATTATAGTAAAGAAGACATGATGGTAAGAGCAGCAGTGACTGTTTTGGGGTAGGAGAATAAAGTGATTTGTTTTTCTTTTGCTTTCCTTTATTTTCTCTTTTTTACCAGTCATTCACTGTTTCCTATTGTTTATTTTTTAAATTTTTATTTAAAAAAAGAAAAAAGGTGAAAACCAAAAGATTTCTAAAACAATGTAGCATTTTTCCTGAAGATAAACATAAATGGGTACACAATTCCAAATGTCCTCTTGCATCTTGTAAAATGATCATTGTACACTGAAATTGAGGGCTACGGCATCTGTGGTGTCTCTTTCATCATTTGGGAAAAATTATTAAATGACAATCTGGTACAAGGCTCAAATGACTTTATGGCAGTTTGGACCTCATTCGTAAAAGATACTGGAGAGGTTCATATTGGATTATGGAACAGAATTTACTGTCCTACATTAAGGCTGCCGGAGGTAGATTTGAAAAAGAAGACAAATTGGTCTTGTTGTCCCCACTATGTTTCTGAGGCTAAAAAAGTGCTTGAACCTTTGAAAGAAAAAAGTATGTTCAATATGACAGATAAGAAACAGATGAAATAAGGTCTTCAGCTAATTTTTACTGCTGCCAAGAGGAAAGAAAGTAGGACAAATAACGCCACTGTGAGGCATTCCTGGGGACGGGAGAGGACAGAGGAGCTTCACAGGAGCTTCAGCCCAGCACACCGACTCTCTCACATTTTATGAACATTGCACGCTTATGGGGCTCCAAATTTTGAAAATGTGCCATATTAACACTAATGATAACAATGGCTTAAATACATGTGTATATTACATGGAGTTTCTTATTTCATACTCACAAGAACATTTCCATTATATAAATTAAAGAGAGGATGAATCTCTTGCCCAAAGTTGTATAGCTTTTAGAAGGATCTGGAATTTCAATCCAAACCTTACATTCTTAACCCCTAAATTCTTCTGCCTTTTCTACCAAACAGCAAAAAGGGTCAGCAGAGATTCTTTGTTCTCTGTTTTTTGTTTGTTTCGTTTTTGAGATGGAGTCTCACTCTGTCGCCCAGGCTGCAGTGCTGTGGTGCAATCTCAGCTCACTGCAACCTCTGCCGCCCAGGTTCAAGCAATTCTCCTGTCTCAGCCTCACAAGTAGCTGGGATTACAGGCACCTGCTATCACACCCGGCTAATTTTTGTAGTTTTAGTAGAGACGGGGGTTTCACTATCTTGGCCAGGCTGGTCTTGAACTCCTAAACTCGTGATCCACCTGCCTTAGCCTCCCAAAGTACTGGGATTACAGGCATGAGCCACCTCACCCAGCCTTTTCTTCTCTATTTGTATAAATCCTGTGTAGGCTTCAAGGACAAGTTTATCTGTGATTCCTCCTCTTTCATCTGAACAACCATAAACTGACTCTATAGCTCTCTTCTAGTTTACAACATGCTGTGATATCTAGGAAGAGAACGCTGAGTGCAGACTTTATGTCCTCTACAGCAGAGATGAGGACTTGGGGGCATTAAGGAGTCTCATTCACGTTCCCCGCCCCACTATTTCCCCAGCATCACCAATGAGTCCTTGAGTGCAGGGACTGATCAAGAAATTGTTAGTCATGACTGCTAACCAACTCCTTGACAGGTTATTTATAATGTTTTTCATAGAACTCACATCTTTTCAGGGCTATCCTAAAATCCTCCATATGAATAGAGGAAAAAGATTCTATTTAGAGGAGCAGTTACCAACCAAAAGAAGCTTTCTGAAAGACTTCTCACTGTTTCAGTAACCCCTCGAAAAAGAGAAATTTTTATGTTCCTACAGTCTTAAAAGGTAGCAGTCAATCAGTAATTTCTTTTCTTTCTTTCTTTCTTTCTTTCTTTTTTTTTTTTTTTTTTTTTTGAGACAGGGTCTCCGTCTGTCACCAGGCTGGAATGCAGTGGCAGAATCATGGCTTACTGCAACCTTGAACTCCTAGGCTCAAGCAATCCTCCCACCTCAGCCTCCCGAATTGCTGGGACCACAAGTGTGTGCCACCATGCCCAACTAATTTTTGTATTTTTCTATTTTTGCCAGAGGCAGAACCCGTCTCTACAAAAAATACAACTCCTGAGTGCAAGTGATCCACCCTACTTGGCCTCCCAAAGAGCTGTGATTACAGGCGTGAGCCACCGTGCCCAGTCAGTAAGTTCTTTCAAGCTATTTGCTCGATATTGAAATAAAATTATGTCTCTGTCATTTATGTATTTATTTTTAAACAGTCTCTCATTTTACAGTGAAAATGATGCTTTCATTCCTTTTCTGTCTTACAATGGTTTGGGGCCCAATGGAAAAGATTTGAGCAGGGTCCTACTGACACCATTGACATCCTAAACCAACAGCATCGCCCCCTAAAAGTCTGTTTTACGTCAGTTACTTTCCCTTTGGTGTTACTTACAACCGCTGGTGATGGGACATGGATGCTTGCCACCGACCGTGGGCGGATGTGGTTGACCAGATGGCAGAGGACGACGCCATCCATGAGTGCTGCCCCCAGGTCTTCGTGTAGACTGACCTTCAATCTCATCTCAATGCTCTGTTGGGGAAATCAGAAGGAATCCAGTTGCTATGAACACTGAGATAACTGTGGGTCAAATGCAACTATGGGTATTTGTGAACTGAGGCACTAATTTCATTATGGGGCATAAGGATAACAATGCCTAGAAAACACTCACATTATTTACACCTTTTCAAACAGTATCAAAATCCCTCTTTATAAAAACAAATTTAGGTTGAGTGCAAAACTTTTAATTAGTAGAATGAATAGAATAATGGAATCACTTTGTGAGTGTGATAAATAAAAACTAAATCTGACTGGTTCAGGCAGTCTGCATGGGGCAGAAGAGAGATTAAGAAATGCTTTTCTCTGGCCGAGCACAGTGGTTCAGGCCTATAATCCCAGCACTTTGGGAGTCCCCAGTGGGCGGATCACCTGAGGTCAGGAGTTTAAGACCAGCCTGGCCAAGATGGTGAAACCCGGTCTCTACTAAAAATACAAAAATTAGCCAGGTGTGGTGGCGTGTAGCTGTAATCCCACCTATTTGAGAGGCTGAGACAGGAGAATCACTTGAACCTGAAAGGCGGAGATTGAGTGAGACAAGATTGCACCACTCAACTCCAATCTGGGCGACTGAAAAAAAAAAAAATGCTTTTCTCTTAGGCCAGGCATGGTGGCTCACACCTGTAACTCCAACATTTTGAAAGGCGGAGGTGGGCAGCTGTCTGAGCTCAGGGGTTTGAGAACAGATGGGAAACATGGCAAAACCCTGAATACAAAATGCAAAATACCAAAAATACAAAAAATTAGCTAGGTGTGGTGACATGCACCTGTGGTCCCAGCTACTTGGGGGACTGAGGTGGGAGGATCTCTTAAGCTCAGGACGTGCAGGTTGCAGTGAGCCGAGATCATGCCACTGCACCCCAACCTAGTTGAGAGAGTGAGACCCTGTCTCAAAAAAAAAAAAATTGCTTTTCCCTTAGACTATTTTTAATTGAAAACCAGTTTTTGTCCTTCTTTTAAAAAATTAAACTTTTGATTTTTGAGATAATTCTAGATTAATATGCAATTGTAAGCGCTAATACAGAGAGATTCCATGTACGCTTAGGCCAATTTCCTTCAATGGTAACAACTTGCAAAACAACCAGGATATTGACATTGACAAAGTCAAGACACACAACATTCCCACCAGCACAAGGATCCCTTTTATAGACACACCCTCCCAGCTACTCAGGAGGCTGAGCCAGAGAATCGCTTGAACCCCGGAGGCAGAGGGTGCAGTAAGCTGAGGTTGCACCACTGCACTCCAGCCTGGATGATAAAGCCAGACTCTGTCTCAAAATAAGAAAAAAGATTATAGACACATCCCCTTCCTTCCCACCCCCAAGTTCCTCTTCCGTCTTGCTCCCATTCTCCTTTCCTTCTGGGCCTTCCATGCCACGAATGTTGGATCATTTGTTACACTCCCACAGGTCCCTGAGGCTCTCCATCCACCGATTTTTCAATCTGTTTTCTATTGCTCAGATTAGATGATTTCTATTGTTCTCTCTTCCAGTTTCATTCCAGTTCTTTCCTTTATCATCTCCATTCCACTGTGGAGCCCATCCACTGGGCTATTTTGAATAATGTATTTTATAGCTCTAGATTTCCTTTTTTTTTTTTTTTTTCTTGAGACAGAGTCTTACTCTGTCACCCAGGCTGGAGTGCAATGGTGCAGTCTCGGCTTACCGCCACCTCTGCCTCCCGGGTTCAAGCAATTCTCCTGCTTCGGCTTCCCAAGTAGCTGGGACTACAGGTGCGCACCACCACGCCTGGCTAATTTTTTTGTATTTTTAGTAGAGATGGTGTTTCCCCATGTTGGCCAGGCTGGTCTCAAACTGCTGACCTCGTGATCCGCCTGCTTCAGCCTCCCAAAATGCTGGGATTACAAGCATGAGCCACTACACCCAACCTGGTTTTTCTTTATGTCTTCTATTTCTTTGTTGAGAGTCTCTAGTTCTCTGCTGGGGTATTCTCTTCCTTTCCTTTGACCTGTGCCTTATTGCTCATTGAAGCATTTTCATCATGGCTGGTTTAAAGTATCTGTCAAATAATTCTAACATCTCTGCTATATCAATGTTGTCATCTGTAGACTGGCTTTTTCCCCCTTCAGTTTGAGATCTTCCTCCTCCTTGGAATGATAAGGGATTTTCAATGGAAACCTGGACATTTTTGTATTATGTTATGAGACTCTGGATCCTATTTAAATCTCTGTTTTAGTTGGCTTTGTTTGTTTGTTTGTTTGTTTGATGCTGCTTCAGCAGGGGAAGGTGGCCACCATCTTGTTACTGCCAGGTGAATGTAGGCATCTGAGTTTCCCATTGGGTCTCAGTTGGCCAAGGAGTAGGGGGCAGGGGTAGGTGCCTCCTTACTGCTGGGTGGGGGCAGGAATCCAGAATTCCCATGTGGTCTCCACTGAAACTCTGGGAGCAGATGAGGTTCCTTACTGACCAGTGGGGATGAAATCTCTGGCTGCTGGCTTGGTCTTCTCTGACAGCATCCCAGCAAGGGTGGAAGTTTCACCTGACTCAGCCTTTGCTGGTGTGGCTGAGGTGGGGGCCACGGTATTTCCTGTGGTGTTCAGCTGCAGTAGAGCATTTATGGTCTACAATTTTGTGTCTTGCTAGGCTGTCCCTTTGCTGGTTATCCAGTTAGAGAAAGCGGGCTTTTGTTGCTGTTTTTCTAAAGTCTGTGCCCATGACTGTTTCTGGGTTCCCAGCGACTTCAGCTCCAACTCTGCATACATGAGGCAAAAACAAAGTCCCCTGGAGCTCAAGGACCCCAATTAGTCTGTCTTCTTCTCTCTACCTTCCAGAATGTTCTTATGTTTGTTTTATGTATGTCTGGGGGTTTTAGGTGTATTTAGTGGGAGGAATAGGGAAAAGTATGCCTACTCCGTCCTCTTGGAAGTAGAAGTAGAGAAGTCAGTTTTCAAACCTTAACTAGAGCTTTTGCAATAGAAGCTCCTTTTAACTGGATAACAGCCTATGAAAGGATAACTTAATTTGGTGATTTTAATAAATGAAAACTTGAAAAACAGTGCATCTCATAGTGTTATTTAAATTTCTTTCAGAACGGTCCTGTGTGTGGACAATTTTTCAGACCCTCTTTGAGGCTCTAATTTTACATCACTAAATTAAGACATAAATGATCAATATGACTCATGTTTAAGATGAAATTGTAAGGTATCACTCCTTGAGGGCCATATCTCAGCTTCTGATCTTATTTGCACAGATTTCATAAAGTTCACCTTTCCAGTTTACATCCCATGTAGACAGTCTGGACAGATGACAGAGGTCTAACTTTCCCTTCGTGTTTGCTGAACCACCACAGTGGCTTAAAGTGGTGGTAAGAGTTCTTTTTAAAATTATTTCCTCCTGACTTTTTGCTAAGCCATATAAAAAGTATCATCTGCTATAACAAAGATGCTGACTTAGCCTGATTTAATTTAATCTATATTTAGTTTATAGGGCTCACTGCTCATCTGTAGAACTCACTGCTCTCTGAAACTGTATATTTATTTGTTTCTGTCTTATTTCTTCCCAGTGGACTATAAGCTTCAGAACAGCAGGGACCTTTTTGTTCTCTCCTACATCCATCACCTAGAATACAGCCTGGTAGAGAGTAACAGTCAATTCACATTTGCTAGTGAAAGAAGATTTCACATCAAATCTATCTCCTCCAAGAACCTTTCTTTTTAAAAAAAAATTTATTTTAGATTTGGGGGGTACATGTGCAGGTTTGTTACATGGGTGTATTGTGTGATGCTGAGGTTTGGGCTTCTAATGATCCTATCTCCTAAGCAGTGAAATAGTCCCCAGCAAGCAGTTTTCCAACCCTCGCCCCTCTCTCTCTCCCCTTTTGGAATTCCCAGTGTTTACTGTTTCCATCTTTGTGTCACATATACTCAGTGTTTTGCTCCTACTCCGCCTTATAAGCGAGAACGTGGTATTTGGTTTTCTGTTTAATAATTTGCTTAGGATAATGACCTCCAGCTGCATCCATGTTGCTGCAAAGGATGATTTTGTTGTTTTTTTATAGTTGTGTAGTATTCCATGGTATATATGTACCACATTTTCTTTATCCAATCCACAGTTGATGGAAGCCTGGGTTGATCCCTTGTCTTTGCTTGTGTGAATAGTGCTGTGATTGACATATGAGTACAGGTATCTTTTTGGTAGAACAATGTATTTCCTCTGGATATATACTCAGTAATGGGATTGCAGGGTCAAATGATTGTTCCATTATTAGTCAAGAAGCTTTCTTAGACTCTTCTAGTTCATAGTTATGATACTTCTTTTTGAACATAAAAAACTCACACAGCAATTCATAATTAATTGCTTTAATAGCTAATACCAATGTTTACCAATGTTTTCTTCCTTGCTGACTGACTCAATAATTGTAGTTATTTAACCTTCGATATATTTATCTATGATCTTCCTAACCAGACAAAAAGACCATGCAGGTGGACAAACGCCTACAGAGTGCCCACTGGGAACTAAGAAATATGACAAGGACTAAGACAGTCATGGTCCCTGCCGTCTCCAAACTTAAAAGCTTCAATGACGCTCAGCACAAGACTTCCTCTTTGGTAGAAACTCAAATGGTTTGCCTATTAGATAATTGATTTAAAATCTCTGGACAGTTTGGGGATACAATTGAGGATAACTATAAACATTTTTAAATTAATATTGCCAGGGATATTGGCATGCACCCATAATTTATGCTGAGCTACTTGGGTAGCTCAGTCCAAAAGTTCAAGGCTAGAGTGAGCTGTGATCACACCACTGCACTCTAGTCTGGGCAACAGAAAGAGACTCTGTCTCTTAAAAAATAAAAATTGGGCTGGGCATCGTGGCTCATGCCTATAATCCCAACACTTTGGGAGGCCGAAGCGGGCAGATCACTTGAGTCCAGGAGTTTGAGACCAGCCTGACCAACATGGGGAAGCCCATTTCTACAAAAAATACCAAAAATTAACGGGGGTGTGGTGGAGCACGTCTATAATCTCAATTACTCAGGAGGCTGAGTTGGGAGGATCACTTGAGCCCAGAAGGCAGAGGTTGCAGTGAACTGAGATTGTTCCACTGCACTCCAGCCTGTGTGACAGAGCAAGACTCTGTCTCAAAAAATACATAAATAAAAACAAAAGTTAAAATTAAATTAATTTAATATTATTAAGTAAATAAATGACAGGGCATTAAAGTATACCTGAATTGTAATAGTGCCAGCACTGATACATATGTATTATTTTTATTTACTACCATTTCACATATTCCTCACAAAACCCCACTAAGGTCAACTGGAAACTTTTTTTTCTTTTTTTAAGAGACAAGGTCTCACTTTTGTCACCCAGGCTGAAGTGAAGTGGTGCAATCATAGCTCACTGTGGCCTTGCATTCCTGGACTCAAATGATCCTCCCACCCTAGCCTCCCAGCCTCCCAGGTAGCTAGGATTACATGCAGACGCTACCATGCCCAGCTAATTTTTGTATTCTCAGTAGAGACGGGATTCAACATGTTGCCCATGTTGGTCTTGAACTCCTGGACTTAAGTGATCAGCCCACCTACACCTCCCAAAGTGCTGAGATTAGGTGTGAACCACTGTGCCTGGTCATACCATTTTTTTAGTACATAAAGAAACAGACTCAGGGTTTTTAAGTGGCTTGCCCAATATCCAGCAGTCAGAAAGTGATCTGGCTAGACCTGAAATTAGGATTGCTTGCAATGTTTCAAAGTCTATTTTCAACAATATTGAATGTTGCTTAAATTCTGAAAATTCTTCTTTAGTTACATAATGTTTCTTGGGTACCTCACGAAGTTGTTCCACCAGCTCTTTCTCTTCTCTCATCTGCTCCATTTTCCTCCGGATTGTAAACTGTGGGTCTATAGACTCCAAATTTCTCTGAGGTCTTAGAAACACTATAATAGAAAGGGAAAAAATGCCTTTATGTAGCGCCTTGTCCAAGTTGCCACATAGGGCTATTCGTGTTCAAATCAAACAGCATGTTAATTTATCCAAAATAATTCATTTACCACTCAAAGAAACAAATTCCAAATCCATAAGAAAAGCGTGGCTCAAATATTTTAAAAGAGATTATATTTTAAATTATACTAGGTTGTATTCTTCGGTGATAATAAACTGAACCCAGGGCAATGTTTGGGTCACTGGGATCATTCCAAGCCCCCTGTCTGACATGTCCTGCTTCATTCATCTTCCCACTGTTTCCATTTTAATTTTTAATTTACACTCAATCCTTCCATTAAATTCAGATAATTTATTTCAAATAAGGCTCTAGAGTTGTATGTATTAAAAATAAGCACAAATTAATGTTTTTGTTGGCATAAAGTTTTTCATAAGCCTGAGTTAAGAACTAAGTGATGATTACATATTTGAGGGTACAAAGGAAAAATTCTGCCTTCTAGACTGTCACTGACAGACTATCTAAAAAGCTAGCTCTTTGGAGATGAGCAAGGACTCCTTTTAGGAAGGCTGGCAAGATTAGAAGTAGCTGAAGAGCTCATGGTTGGCTTCAGGTTCTTGAAGTCACAACCTCCAAGAATAGTAACTAACAGCAGTGCTCCCTCTGAAATGAGCTGAGAAAACACATGCCCTTACCTCTACAAGGAAAACACCTTTTAGAGACCAATCAAGAATGTAAATAAAGTTCTATGTATTGGAGAAGACTACAGCAAGAGTTTTAATTAATTTTTTAATGATACTAAGCCCAGGGCAGATTTAAACTTGAGGGTTTTTTTTCCCTAGAGACGTTTATCCTAGTCTGTCAATTTTCCTTGCATATACGATGGATCCAAGAGCTGTTCAGAGCCCTGGTTCCTCCATCCTACAGACTTTCAGATTGAGGTGGGGAGGGAAAGTCCTTCAGAACACTTTGGGCAGAGAATGCCAATGTTAGAAATCCATACCACAGAGAAAGCTGCATGGCGTACTGCGATTGCAGAAGTTTCAATCATAATAATTTAAACAATGTTGAATAAGAAAGAATGTGCAATTTTTATTCCACCCTGACATACATTTCCTATGGACCACTTTAGAAACGATTTCAATATTTCAGATTTCTAGAAATTAAATATGATTTACAAATAGAATACTTTGCATGCCAAGACCTGAGTCAACTCAGTGTAATCAAAAGTCCTGTGCTCGCCTAACTACCATATTTTAATCTCAATTTGTGCCTTTGAACATGCATTCTCCTCCTCACATCTCAGTATTTTCCTTCTAAACTAGTTCTAAGATGTTAGAACTAGCATTCTGATGCTGTAAGAAGATGAAGAAGTTGACATAGTTTAAACCATTGACTTAGAGTTAACGGAGAAAGAGGATGATTTATGGTACACAAGGCCTGTCACCTTGTGGAATCTCAGAGAGGAGTCAGCTTGTGGCCTGGGGCCTCTGCTGGAAGCCACTGAGGGAAGTCACAGGCAAAGGACGCCACAGGCAGTCACAGGAGGGTTGTCGCCAAGTCCCACAAAACCCAAACCTCACAGGCTGTAGAACCAATTATTTAAAAAGTAAAGCCAAGGTCAGTAAAAGGAGGACACAGTGACCAGGCAGGGAGACCTGAAAACTTCACAGAGAAAAGGGAACAGGACAAATCTGACAAATTAGGATGCACGGAAGAAATCGGAGAATACATCAAACCTGATGCAATTTCAAGCAAAACCGAAAAAGAGAAATATATAAAAATAGAAAATCTAGAACTAATTTGCACCACTAAATTTACCCCAAAAAAAGGCCAAGGAATGCAGATAGAGTTGGATAATACACACATAGGCCAGCAAGGGGCGCCTCAACACCGCTGAAACAAATTGAATGTTTTCTTTGGAGCTGTTATTTTCCTTTGTGTTTTTTCTGGGGGTAATCTTATCTAATAATATTTTCAATATGTTTTTACTGGCAGGTTTTAATCTGAATATGAAACTTTCAGGAAGTTAAATGAACCATGAGCTTTTCTATTCAACACCACATTGCCTTATTAGAGCCCTGTGTGAGGTATCAGGATAATGAAATGGTGTCTGGGTTTTACTTTCCTGGGATCATTTTTGATTTTGCATTCCTTTGTATCTTAAAAATACAATATGCATGCCTGGGCATCTGCTCTATGAATGTGAAGCAAACAAAAAGTGTTTTTAAAAAAATACTTGAACACTTTTTAAAATGAACACTTCAAATATACATAAAATTATCAGAAATAATGACTATATCCCTATATTAGTTTTCTAAATGTATTTGTCACTATGACATATAAGAGAACTTAAGGCAATCTCTTTAGGCTCATAATAAATCTACCAAGTACAAAAGTGTTTGCTTATGTTGCTGGGTTTGTTATGACAGAATAACTTCACTGGGACCATTAAAGTGCCTCTGATTAAATTATCAGCAGTTTTATCTTTTCTTTCAAGTCCTATTTAAATAATAAATCCTGTGACCAGTCTGGGTCTAGGCTTCAGGAAACTGATCTACAAAAGAATTATTCTGGTTTTCCTTAATTTTCATATCGCTAAATTTCAAGAGCGCCCTTACTTAATCCAGAGGAATAAAAGTTTAACCTGAGTCCATGAGACAGTATTAAGAAGTAGCATCCAAGTCAGCATGTATTTTTCAAATCCAATGCTCCTGTGACTGTTGAAGTGTAAATACGAAAAAAGAAGGGTGAGAGCCAAGTGAGTGTGTATTATGAGTGTGTTGAAAGAGATGAAGAGGTAGGTGGCTGTTTTTTGGCAAGGGAGTTGGGGGACACAGTCTCGCTCACCTGCCTAGGCTGGAGTGCAGTGGTGCAATCTCGGCTAGCTACAACCTTAACCACCTGGGCTCACGCAATTCTCTCATCTCAGCCTCCCGAGTAGCTGGGACCACAGGCCTCTGCCACCATGCCTGGCTAACTTCTGTATTTGCTGTAGAGGCAGGTTTTCACCATATTGCCCAGGCTGGTCTCGAACTCTTGGACTCAAGTGATCTTCCTGCCTCGGATCCCCAAGTGCTGGGAGTATAGGTGTGAGCCCCTGTACCTGGCCCAAGTAGGCAATTTAAGATGAAAGAAAAAAATAAATTCTGCTTAAACTAAGCCTATGGTTTAATTACTGTATGTTATATAAATTTTTATTTATTTATTTATTTTGATATGGAGTCTCGCTCTGTTGCCCAGGCTTGAGTGCAGTGGCACAATCTTGGCTCACTTCAACCTCTGTCTCCAGGTTCAAGCGATTCTCCTGCCTCAGCCTCCCAAGTAGCTGGGATTACAGGCGGCTGCCATCACACCTGGCTAATTTTTGTATTTTTAGTAGAGACGGGGTTTACCATGTTGACCACGCTGGTCTTGAACTCCTGACCTCAAGTGATCCACCTGCCTCAGCCTCCCAAAGTGCTGGGATTACATGTGTGAGCCACTGTGCCTGGCATAAATAACAGTTAAAATGGAAAAGATTTGCACATATATGTAATTTATTTAGCAAAAGAGGTAAGCATGGACCCTGCAGGGGATAATGAAATGTTTATGTAAAATATTGAATTCATCCTTGCAGATAGATATAGGTCAAATTCCACTGAGCTTTCCATTATTTTCTGCCTTTTCCTCCACTGTTTTCCCCATCCTCATCTCTGAGCTGGGAGTAATCTCTGTCTTCTGTGAGCGTATAAAATTTTTTTATCTGTGTCTGTCCCATGGCACTCACCACTTTCTGTCTTACAGTAGAGTGATATTTCACTCCATTATGGATGTGTAAACGTTTATGTCTATTTCGTACTTGTACCCTCTACCCCTGCCCCACAAAGCAGTGAGTTGAGCAGAATGAGTTTGCTGAATGAGTAAACAAAACAAGTGTTTCAAACACTCCCTCATTTAAAGCTCAGTCTATTTGGAGAGCATCCCTGCAAACATGATTCTATTCTGATAATCAGTCACCTGAGATTTTCCTCTTATGAATAATCTCCTAAATTTAGTTTCCAGGTCTGAATGCATTAGACTCTGAAATGAAAGCAGAGAGATTTCGGCTGTCTCTTCAGAGCTGCATCCACAGTAACAAGCATCACGCATAGCACATAACACGCACTTCACAGATGTTTAAGGATGTGTACAAGAAACCATTTATGTACTTGCTGTGAGAAGGTCTTTGGGTTAAGCAAACAAAGAAAGTCTTCTGTTCTAAAAATTGCCCAAATGCACTTTATCATTTAATTATTGCATGAAATACACTCTTCATAAAAAAATTTTTATACCTAAATTTAACTCAATGAAAGGAGATTTCTTCTTTGTGGAAACATGAAGTTTTAAAATTTAGCTCTTAACTTCTCTTTGGAAGTTAAGAACCTGAACTGCACACGATGTTTAAGATATACAAACTCAAAGACAGTATTATCTTGGCTTTGAAAAATATCATGAGCTTTAGATCCAGGCTACTGTGAATCAGAATTCTCACTAGCTGATTCATTCATTAACTTCTGGCGCCTAAAATTGAATTAGACACATTCTCTGTCCTCAGAATGCTCACATTTCTTCTCCATGGTCTTGGACAATTTACTTAACCCAGTGACTTTCAACCTTACTTGAACACCACATAATATCGCATAAAAAAAGTGAAACAAATGATCAGGACTTAGACTCAATGCTACACCAAAGAAATGAGCATTTCTGATTATGCGCCCTAAGTGACTATAGTTTTACAGAACGCCCAGGTGATTCTAATATAGAACCAGAGTTGAGAATCACTAAAAAGCCCCTTATATTCTCAGTTTCTTCATTTTTGTAATGGGAAAAATAACACCTATAGCGCAAGATTCTTGTAAAAATGTAAGGAAAATATCCGTAAATTGGCATAAGATGGATGGTTATTTCAGAGACTAATGTAAACTAGTCCATTCATCCATTCTCTGGTGATAACTTAAAGATTAATTTTCAATAAGTATAAATTAGCATCTATCAATTCACTGCAAATAAAAGAGAAAATATGACCCCAAAAAGATAGAAACAGTTCTTAATGTCAAAGTGAAGAGGAAAGGTTCAGTAAGAGGACACAAGAACGGGGGAAAAGCAGAAGTTAAGCTATCAGGTTAAAAACAGAGGTTAGAGCTGTCCCATCCATCTCCAGGGGTGGGTCCAGAAAAACCTACAGACAAACTTCCACAACCTCCTTCATCCACCTTATGGGGCAGAACTTTAGGGACTTTGAGGCCTCAAATACCCAAGGACTTTCTACCCAGTTTGCCATTTTTAAAAAAACATCTGTTTGAAGAATATGTTTTAGAGAAAGTGGGGAATTTAAAATGAGACAGAATGGGAATAAATATTTGAAAGAATTTAAATAAAAGGATAATTTTACATAAAGCAAGACAGTGAGCAAGACATGAAAAGGACGACTTTACCAAAAATAGTAACTAAAAAGTATAAATAAAAGTCAAGTTACATTATGGTAAGCTGAGCTGGTAATAAGATGATGTTTATTTATAAAGGTTATTTACAAAGATAGCAGCCAATGTTAAATAACGGAGAAAATATGAGGAAACAAAACTGATGTAATCAGCTTTGAAATGCCAAGAGAGGCCCCTGAATAGGATCTTCTACTTAAAAGGAACCAGTAAGAACAACATAAAAAGTAGTCTGTGTTCCTTTCCCAGCATTAGCTCACAGACCTGTGAACATACAGTGCAGTTTCTTTAATTTAAAAAAAAAAAAAGCATTAAAAAATGTATTCCAATCACATTTCAAAGTTTAGAATGAAGAAAATGAAGATAAAGATCTGGGAACCTAAACAAATATTTGCAAAGACTATTTCTGCACAGAAGATTTTCTGTGGCCCAGGGCACAGTAGAGACGAATTGCAAATAGGGAAAACTGTCAGTATCTGACATGACTGACTGAACCATGAGTATTGAAAACAATGGTTTTGTTATTTTTGTGGTACAATATAATAGCTGCATGTGAATCCCTGGAATTTTTACTCATCGAAAAAATAATAACTATTGCAAGGTTATTTTATTTTTAGAAGGATTTCCACGATAATTATTTTCTATGGAAATTTCAGGATTTTTATTAAAATGAAGGCAGCCTGAACGTAGATGTGGCAGAGATGATTCCAGAGTTAGGAACCCTGGTGTGGCTTCACCTCCACTTCTACACCATAGTGTGACCCTGGCAGCTCACCTCGCCTTTCTGGTTTTAGGCCGTTCATCTATAAAGATAGAAATTTTACTGCTACATAAGAAGTCTAATTCTTTCCCAGCTTAAAAAAAAGTTCGTTGGTTTCAGATATCATTCCTAAGGAAATACCAACCACACATAAATCTTTCATTCTAGGCTTTATTTCCTTTAAACAACATAAATAGCTAGGCTTTCTGAAAAACAAAAATGCCTCCCTCCTCCATTCAAAAAAAAAAATTTAAGTAAAAAAGAAGTTTATCAAGAAAGTTTCCATTTAACCCTCTTCAACTTCCAAAATTCAAAACTGGATGGTATAAGGAGGGCCTTTTGTTTCATAACTGTTGCTTTTTAATCCTATTTATTGTCAGTTTAAAAATTTAGAAATCTATGAAATATTAAAATTCCTTGTATAACTACTCTGCCAAAGTATATACTGTCCTTCTCCATAAGGAAATTATAAACGCATTTTTGGTTGAATTTTAACCAGAAATCACAGCAAGTGTTTTATATACATATTTTCCAGGTATTACATATAACATACTTAGATGAAAAGATAAATATTATCAGAAAATGTATCTTCCCGTTGTGTTTGCATTGGGGCTAGACCCTGTACCTCACTACTATTCCCTATAAATCACATTCTCTGTTCCACTTAACTCAACTGCAATGACTTTGTATTCTGAAGTAAAATGTTTAAAATCTGAAGATTTCAAAGACTAGAATGAATTTAGACTAGAGTGGAGATTAAGAGATAGGTGGTATGTAGATCTAAATAATTATATTTTATTGTAGTCTCTTAGGCTACATAAAATTCAAAATTAAAAGATATTCACATATATACTAGCGGAGTATCCTCGATTTTTCATTTACACATTCAATTCTCAGGCCAAGTTACTATTATTGAAAGTCAAAAAGATGAACTTATACTCAAGAAGGTATCAAAAGTCAAAACATGCCAATAATTTGGGAAAAAAAGAAGGCAAATCATTGCTCTTCATTTTTAGAGATTTCTCAACATTAACATTATTTTCAATGCAATACTCTAGGATCAACCATGGTACATTTTAATTACCTTAGAAATCTCACATGGTAAGCATAAATAATACAATATCAAGCTCTAGAACCATTTAGTTTAGATGCAGGAACAAGCAGAGATAATCCAAGTGTGCAAACCCCAAATATTTGTAAACAAGCAAACAAACCAAAAAACCCAAGCAGAAAAGGGTAGAAAAGAAAGTATTATAATGCCTTCCCCAAATCCAGAATAGTCAAGTTAATTAAACTGGAGATTGACAAACTGCTAGAGAACAATCCACATGCACTTTTCTGGACTTCACTTTCCAGGTTTATACATTATTTCCTGTACCAAGCATGCAGGTGAATATGCTCTATCTTTAGCTTCACAGAGATGAATATTCAATATACGCATTGGCTGATTAATGAGAACATTGGAGAAGAGGTACAAAGCCACCTACCATTGTCACTGTCTCCTTCAGATGGAACACTGTAGCTAGAGCTGTCCCATGTCTGTGCCTGTGTAAGTGTGTTGAAGGAGATAGGAGGAAGAATGAGGGCTGGGTCTGCAGGGGAGCCAGAGAGCCAGTCCGCGTACAGTTGCACAAGGACCAGGAAAAACCAAAGGGGCAGCAGCATTTCACAAATGGCATAGGGTTTGCATGGAAATGAAGAGTGGATTTCATTTATATGGGGTTTAATTTCAAATGCACAATATAGGAGAAGAATGAAAGATGGTGCATGGAATAAAAAGAATGATAAAAACTGAGTGTTAGTACCCATCAATCATACACTTTGCATGCAGTTCATATTGTTAATCTTAACAGTTCTGCAAGCCCACAGACTTAGAGTACTAACGAATCAGGTCAGCAGAAAGAAAGGGTGCCCATAGGTTAGGTAGACAAAAAGCAAAAGACCTGCCAGATACCTTTCTCAAAGACTTTCTAAAAAACTAACCATCTTAGCAAATACGATTTCCCCCAAAAAATTGGTCAAATAAGATAAAGCTTAATATGTAAATATACCTATTATTTAGAAATAAAACTATTATAAAATCATTGTTTACCATTAGTGATTTTTTTTCTCCAAAGCAATATAAAATTTCTTTTTAAAGACATCTGTAGGTCTATTGGCATGCTTTACTGATAGCTGAATTTAGCTAATTCTTTTCTCGATCCTGGACATACCTCTCAATGCTGTTTTCAATATTGCTCAGTTAAAAAACAATAAAACAAAAAATGTTGGACACTAGTACAGTCTATTTAACAACAAATCCAATTAACCAACAGAGATCCATCAATTTCAAGAACTTCTGAGTTGGTCATTTATGAAATAACGACTCTTATTTTTGCACTAAATATCCATATGGCAATTTCATATTTAGGAAAATCTATATAATTTTTAATTCAAACATAAGGCAAGGGCCAGTAGAATAAGCAGACATAGTTCTAGAAATAAATATTTGGGTGTGAGCAGTTGTCTTTGTCTGGGAGGAAAACACAGAAAGAAATGTTTGTTTTGAAGGAAACTGTCAGCCTACTTTAAGAATCTAAGTTCTTATTTCAACTTGCTAATTTGAGCAGTCTGTTTTTATTTATAACACAGAAATCACATAAATCCATATAATTTCAAAATAAAAATTAAATGGCTTTAAGTATTCTAAAGCTACTTGATCAAAAATGGTTTCTATCTTTTAAAACTATATGCTTTCCAGTTAAAATTACTGTCTATATTATTTTCCAGAAAATGGTAAAACCACATTTAAGCATATACACTATAATATTTTAAAATTATTAAATAAAATGAAAAAAAAATCCCCATACATAATGCAAGTTTTGTAAAGTTCCAACATGTCACTTGATGTTCCTGAAGATAAATAGCATTATTTACAGCAACCGAACTCCAGAGAGCTTTCAACAACAAGAACAATTTCCGCATTGGTTAGTCAGCATTACAGAAAGACTGGAAGCTTGGAGAGAAAATTAACTTTGTTTTCTGCTGTTCAAAATAAAAGCTCCATTTATTTTTCACCGCTACAAAGAATGTGAAATGGTTCAACAGCGCCAGTACAATGTAAACCCTAACTGTAATAAGTTGCGTTTGGACTCCATAAAAGGAATTAAAAAGTCACCAAAATAATTCTACAACTAAATTGCAAGTTGTACATTCAAAAGAATATCATTCTTCGAAGATCCATTCAACTTCTGATTTGCTTAATCATACCGTATTTTTAAATTGTGTAAAACTGACTGTGAGGATTAAGACAGTCTGCAGCTCAATATGAGGTCCTCAGTGTGTAGAGTAAGTCTCCTGGCAGGTTGTCACTGAAGGCACAGAGGAGGTGTGCCTGAACTCACCTCCATTCCTCCCAGGACACAACCAAGACCGTGGAAATGAAAACCCAGCCAAGGGCCTCAGCCCAGAACTGATCACATTTGCTTAGTTCCAAACGTGAGAAGGCTAGCCATTTGAGTTTTATTTCATGTACAATTTGGCTCTCCATAAAACACTCGCTAACTCTTGTCACACTCATGCACTTTCTCAAATGGCTTTTTTCCTATGGCCCATTCAAACTGCCAGGAAACCATTACACCTGGCCACTTGTTACCCATCAATCAACCTGCCCCAAGAATGAAAAACATTTCCTTTATTAGAGAATCATCGTTGTTTTTCCTGTGGGTGCCTTTTTGCAAAATATACACATGAATAACCTCTACTGTTGTTCAAAATGCTTTACTGGAGAACTCAAGAAGATCTGAGTTCCTTACCAGCTTTTACTTAAAGGTGTCTGAGTTCTTTATTAGCACTTACTTAAAAGCATGAGTGGTAAGTGTAGACTAAATATCAGAGTTAAAAATGTTAAAACAAAGAAAGACATAAAAGAAGGAAGAGTAGCACCAGAACTTCAAATAAATGGAGAAACCAGAAGAATCAGATTTTTCTATGCAGAGTCCTTCTTTTGAAAAGCAACCATTATTGTGTACATCGCTATAATTTACTTTTGGAAATAAACTAATAACAAATTAAAATAAAAGAGGTAATATAAGCAGAATGCTTTCTCAAAAGACTTTTTAAAAAATACTCCTGACCACTCATGCAAGCCTTGAAATGACCACCCTGTTATGTGAGTAAACACACAGAACCTACCAGGCTCAGAAAGCAAATGAGGATGTCTCAGAAAGGAGTCACTTTTCCAGAGGCAGGTTGCCCCTTAACTCAGCCGAGCACCAGGAACCACTGGGGCCAAAGGGCAGCTATTTTATCTTCCTTAGGTAAAAAAAAATCAATAGAGTATTTCTTCCCCGTTACATGCTCCCACCACCTTTTTTTCTTTGCTCTGATTCAAACGAAGACAGGATATCCGCTACTGATAATATGAACTTAGCTGATTCACTGAAAACAAAGCTACAAACTCTGGCCTCCCTAGCTATAGATGCCAGGATTTCAGCTCAGAACTGACAGGGATGTGCACATTGATAATGCATACACTTAAAAGGCTCAAGAGAAAGCTATGAGTTATTTAGTGTAAGAATGAGCTGAGGTTTTCATTTACCTGATCGAGGCTTCAGACCAAATGGAGCTGTGCTGTTTGTGGTAGGAGAGACTGCAGGAGAGTTCTCTCTAATCTGTGGTATTGTAAAGAAAGAAAATTAGGAAAAAAAAGGGGTAAACAGAAGAACTATGTACAGGGTTTTTCTGTGTTCAAGGAACGTAACAAAACGACTCCCTTTTTGCATTTGCTGCTACGTGATGAGGTCCTGGCTAAAAAAATCACTTTGTAAAGATGTTAAATGACATAACCAACAGAATGTTGCTTTAGAGTGACCCACTCAATCTTTTTGTCCATTTTAAGAATATTTTATAATTATGACGCTGGCAGTCTTCTTGCAGAGTTGTGTGCATGGGTGTATGCACACACATCTATCCACTTATGTCCAAAAGAGGGCACATCTGATGAGGACAGATAATACTGAACTCAGCGATACTGACCCACGCAGAATCATTTATGGAGAACAAGACATTCTAAATGTTGCCTATTTAAGTGATCTTCATTCTGTTTTCCTGTAAAGATGTTCCCATATTCGGTTTTTAAAAATATATCTCATAAAAATTAATCTTTGATTATGAATAGGACTAGATAAAGCTATGATAGCTAATGAGAGTTACATGGATTCCCCCAAAGACTCTTCAATTAATTAATTAATCACAACAATCTTAGATCATATGTTTCTGTAAAAGATATTCCAATCCCACCTTCAAGAAATACCTCACCTTCCATTAATCTTCAAGAAACTTACCTCATTTGGAGAATACTGACTCCCGTTACTATGTGATGTTAGATCACTTTGTACCTGAAAGAAGAGGGAAAAAGCATGGTATATTCCATTAGGCTGTGAGACTGTTGAGGCAAGAATTGCATCTTTCTTACTGCCATCATGGACCTGGTCCATAGGTACACAATGAATATCTGTTGAATTAATTAGTTAGTGTGTTCAGTAGCTAAGTAGACAATACTCATATGTTCTGAAAACATGCAGTTGTATTCATAGAAAAATACATCTAAGTGTTGCACAAACCAAGATAAAGAATTTCCCAGAGCAAAGAATTCACTCCAAAACATCTGTGGATGTCAGCTTACTTTGTTAGGTTATAAAGCTGCCTGCTGGTTACCATTCTCATTTTAACTATGGTTTTTAGAAATGGTTTAAGGTAGTACTCCCTAAATATGCAGAATCACATTGGGAGCTTTCAATGAATACACATCTGGACCCCAAATTAACTGAGCAAATATGTTGTCAGTTCAACATCAGATTGCTTTGGCAACTACTGGTTAAGTGAAAAAATTAGGAATTTTTTCTGTCATAAATTGTGCAGGATTTATAACTGGTCGTGGAGAAAAGTCAAGATGACATCATGATTTCCAGTGGGAATGACTGGGTAGGTGACAGCTTCACTGAATACTTGGGGGAATATAGGAGCAGTTCAAGAAGTTGACACTATCAGTTTAGCTATATAGAGAATGAGAAACTTATGGGGCAGGGAGATAAAATCTCAATACTGGGGTACAAGGGAGAACTTAGGGCATCAGCTACAGGTTTCAAAGTCATTATTATTTATGGGGTGCCTGAGTCCGTGAGGGTGGCCAGATGGTCCAGAGAGACAGTGAAAAAGTTGAAGAACAGTGGCTGAGAGCAAAATCCTGTAAAACCGGCATGAAAGAGACACACAGAAACAAGGGGCCCACAAGGGACACACTCTAGTTTCTTACCCAGACCTGCCTTCTTTAGAGGGTAGTCAAGACGCCCCTGATCCTCCCTAATAAACACTTGGGCATTAGCTCATATAAACACCTTCATACAGGCCACCAAATTATTATACATTTAAGATACCTGTTCCTATTCATTGCTGAGGAGTGCTATTTAAAAATCTTCCCACCTTTGACACAAATCCAAGGGAAAACCGTATTTTTAGAATAAAATGTCACTAATGTCCTTACTCAAGTAAATGGCTTTGCTAGAACTGCTAACAAGTAACTTCAGGTGTGATTCATTCTATAAGCAATTCTTTCCTCTAGTGTGTTCTATCGACTCCAAGGCCCTTCCCCATTCAATGTTATTTATGTATAAGCCATGCAATTTGCAATTCTCCACCCACACTTGATGTGGGCAGTCATCTAAAGCATGTTTAAAGTCAGATCACATGATGTGCCACCAATGACAAACGGCTTCATAATCCTGGCCTCCTCTTTCCACGTGGCTCCCACACTGAGCTGATTCCCTAAAGCCACGTTGTCTTGCTTAACACAGCCTCCTGGCTGCAGGGCCAAACCCCAAAATGCCCAAAGTCTCAGTTTACTTTCCTCTCCTTAAACTCTACTCCTTCCCCAGTGTCCCTGAGCACCTAAAACAAGCTCAGGACTGCAGACCATCCTATGTTCTTCTCTAAATTTTTCAACATCTAAATCTTCTTTACCCCACAATAAAAAAAAAAAATCTTTAAAGTGAGGACAACTTCATAGCCTTCATCTTCCAGTCCTCTACACAAAAACAAGGCTGAATCTAGCACAGGCACTCAACAAATACTAGCTAAATAAATTAATACAGGACTACACTGAAAGGTGTTACTTTCTGCTTGAATGAGACAGAAGAAAGAATATCAAAATAGCTAAATCGTAAGTAAGGATCATATTTTAGCTCTGCAGAATCCTTATCACTAGCCCTATGAATTTCCTACTTTCTTTTCTTTTCCTTGTGACTTCCTTTTTATATCAGCTTTTTAAAATCATAGAGACGTGTCTGCCAAGGACAGAGAATTGCTCTAGAGAAGGAAGACAAGGAGTGAGAATTCCTTATACCAAATACTCCTCTTTCAACCAAAAAAAGAAAAAAAAAGAACCTACATTAAAATAGAACAAAACAGTGTAAGTTGGAGACAGAATAAAAGTATCTCTTTTTTTTCTTGAGGTTTTCTATCTTCTAGGGACTCCCAAAATTATGGACACAGGTGTATATACCTTTTTAAAACTCAGAGTGAAAGTTCAAACTCATTTTAAGTAGCATGCTAAAATAAAGGTGCTAAGTAAGGTTGGACCTGGTATATTCTGTGAGTACAGAGGAGTAATACAATCTGCCCAGTTAGAGCAGAAAGTTCATTCTGGAGGCAATTGTGCAGTAGCTGGCTAGGAGGCCCTCACAGCACTGAGCACAGCTCCTGTGCAGAGCTGCAGCTCAATGCCTACCAGCTTAATGGCCTTGGCTGATGGAAAAAACAGACTCATCATTAGAGGGAAGCTGGGCTGGCCCAACTGACCGAATGATTGATATATGACTTGGAAGTCAAGTTTCCTACTTTAGGAGGATATAGTCTTTTCCACATAATATAATGGTAGCAAGCATGGCTAAACTTCAGGAAGAACCCATGAAGCTTTATGAGCCTGTGGAAAAGTATCAGATGGTTTTCAATTTAGACAAGCACAAGGAAATGAATTTAGAAGAACATAATATACACTTTACCTAAACAATGGAGTGTTTGCAGCTATTAGTTAAGACCCAGAGATCTGTACATCAAATAAGCAGTACAATGAAATTTCGCTTACCAAACCCTAATCCTTATCATCTAATTTCCTATCTCTTTCCCTTTCTTCTTCCCGCCCTTCCAGGAATCCTCACTAACTACTGACTGCGTGCCAGGCACTGAGTCAGGTCCCATTTCAAGTGAGAATCCTAAGTATTTGTGCTATGCAATGAGAAACGCAAACAACAGGAGAAATAAAGAGGAGATCAATAAACAGAAATCAATTTTGAAAATCTAGAACTGACTGCAAAGATATAGTTCACCTTTGCTGATGGGAAAATGGGAGGAAGCTCTATATAAAATAGTCTTGGACTGATATTAAGGTAATTTAAACATTCCTTTCCAAGCCACCAAAATGCTTAATAACAGTAGCAATTCCTAATAGCCACTGGAATTGGGGAGTTAGCAAATCAGTGCATATATTGCTATGAAATTAAAAAATAGGATGCAAACTAGACCTAGATAAAACTATGAACTGGGCTCAGTCTGTATCTAGTATATACCCCTCCCTTGTTCCTTCCATCCTCTTTCACATTACTGGAAGCATTGCTCATGCACACAGAAGTATCATGGCTTTTCTTCTGCCAAGATCTGCTCTGAAGAAAAGGTTTGATGGAATCAGACACCACTAAGGCTTGAAAGCATGACAGGACTCAGCGTTGCCCCTGGTCTACAGCATGAAAAGGCAGTATGCTGCAGTGGGCAAGCAGGGCCTAGCCTTTCACATGCAAGTGACCTGGCCAGTCACTTGACCTTGAGCTTAAGTCCTGCATCGTCACTCAGGCATGGTAACTCCTACTTTTCACTTACACCTTATCTAGAATGTAAACTCCTAAGTTTAGGACCTCTGTGTCTTTAATGCTACCTTCTCAGTGTCCAGAGTGGTGTTTGACACATGGGAGGCAATCAACGAATATTTGTTGAAGAAGTGAAATAACAATAACTTATGTAAAATACAAAGCACATGTATTTTACATACATAAAGCACATGATTTTTTAAAAATCAGGAATATACACATGTTAGTAGAAGACAAAATTATTGGAATGACCATCCAATGGTATGTTAAAAATGGAGGGGATATATATTTTTCTGGAAGTTTTGTGTCTTTCTTGTGCTCCTGAAATCACGTACACAGGTGGCCAGCTATTTTACCAGAGTCAAAAGTGGGTCTGCAGCTGGATGCTGAGATGGTCTTGAACCATCCATCACAGAATGCTTGTTAGTTGCAACCAAAAAATAAAACAGTCATTACACAGTGGAGAAATGGGGTTACACCTTGATTGGGTGATCAAATTAACATCACCAAAGAGGAATAGATGGACATGGTGTAGCCCCAAATGTGGCACCCTGAGATGGTCACAACATCGCCCGTGCAGTATTCTAAATCAGAATGCAGAGGCTCAACCTGATCATGAGGAAACATCAGACAGACACAAAATGAGGAACATTATATTAAAAAGGTGGAGGTTTGTGTTCTTCAAAATTGCAAGGTTATAAAAATCACAGAAAGGTCATGAAAATGTTCCAGATAAAAGAAGGCTGTAGACACCTGACAATAAAATGCAGTATCTGCAACTAGACTGAATCTTACACTGAAAGAAAAACAATGCTCTGAAGAGCATCATTAGATCAACTGACAAATCTGAAGCATGGATGATAGATTAGATGCAAATATGTTATCAATATTCATTTATGAAGATAACTCAAATTGATTGTATAAGATAAAAATCCATATTCTTAGAAAATAAACACCAAAATGTTTGTGAAACTTACTTCAGAAAAAGAATTGTGTGTACAGAGAGACAGAGAAAGAGAGAGAGAACAAATACACACTAAAATGATTAGGGGTAAAGGACTTTGATGTGTGAAACTTACTTTCAGAAAATACACAAATATATATAAATATTTATACACAAATACACACTAAAATCTTTAGGGATAAAGGACATGATGCGTGAAACTTACTTTCAGAAAAAGAACTGTGTGTATGGACAGACAGAGAGAGAGAAAGAGAACAAATAATATAATAAATGCGATAAAATGTTAATAATTAGTTAATCTAATTTTATAAGATTATCATTTTTCCAAGCTTTTGTAGAACATTGCAAATTTTTTACAACCTTTTACAAGTTTAAAATTATTTCCACTTTGATTACAGGTGGCTCACACCTGTAATCCCAGCACTTGGAGAGGCTGAAGAGGGAGGATCGCTTGAAGCCAGCAGTTCAAGACTAACCTGGGCAACAAAGCGAGACCTCATCTCTACAAAAGAATAAAATTTAATTTAAAAAGTTATTTCCAAATAAGAAGCTAAAAAAGAGGTTAAGTCTGCACAGAACCAAAATTAATCTCAAACAAAGAGGTTGATGAAAAGGGTCCAGGGAGACTGTACATAAAAGACTTCCAGTGTTCCACTATTGGGTGATTCAATGACACCTCCACCCAAGGAAGAGGTGGTACAGTAATTCTGTTTAAAGGCCACACCAATGACAATCACAGACAAGTAAGCTAACAGCTAACATTTGGGTACCCTATATCATGTGACATTTTCCAAATCAAAATTCCTAATTTGATCTTTATAGTGGGTATTAGCATCCCAATTATAGTAATGAATGTTTCCAAAGGTTAATTAAGCTGCCCACAGTTAGCCAGTCTTTGAGACGGGACTGATACCTAATATAATTCCAAGTCACTGAGCTTAACAATGAAACCACACTCTCTAGCAACATGGCTTTTCCTTTCATATTAATAGTTCCTTTTTTCTTATTTCTTTAACATAGAGGCTAAGTTCAGAGTGTTGAAACTACTTTACTATAGTACATGTGCAAACACCTCGGGGGGGAGGGCATAAACTGTACACAATCCTGGTGCCTAAATTAGCCTCCTAAATCCATTCATGAAATGGGTTGTAACCTATGTTTCACTCCCAAATCACCAGCTCAGACTTATCTCTCTATGACTGGGGTAACTTATTCTTGCTTTGAGACATTCTAAGCTCATTTCTAGTTTAATGTCAAAACTGCTTTCTTTACAGCCACTCATGAGTTACACTAACTCCATGTAACTCTACCGAACCCATCCTTACCCTGTCCTCAAATATCCCCAGCTGTTTCTCTTCATGACATTCTTTCAATCCTCCTAGACATTCCCAAATCATTTGCTCTTGTCTTTCAGGTCTTTCCTAGCTAATTTCCAACTGGCCAATTCCCAGACTTCTTCTTGGCTCTAAAATCTACGATGAATGGTCCTCCTTCAGGTTCTCACACGCAGGCAGGTTCCCTATGTATTTTCGTTTACATTGCTTAACTCAGCAAGATGATCTGAGGTAAAATATCTACAGAATCTAACAGAAATAGCCGAATCTCATCTTTCATGGAGGGTGAGCTGTAATAGAAATGCAGAACTAAAGAGGTAAATGCATCAACAAGTTGAAAAATGTGTCCTGAACAAATCTGAATATTGGCCTCATTAATACAGATGTTTTACTACTCCCTGACAAATCTTTACAGAATGTGGTGGCCAGTATTCCATGACAAAACATTGCACAGAGTTCTGGTGAATCCAACAGCAGACTTACCTCACACATCGGAGATATCTCCAGCTGCATTTGACCACTGTGAGAACAAGGAAAGAAAAAAAAAAGATATAAAGTAGAATTTAAAGCATACAAATTTCAACGTATTATAAAGAAAAAACATAATTTGTTATAAAAGGTAAGCATACTTCAGTGCAGAATCTTGTAATTCTAAGGCTTCTGCTGATCCCATAGGATACAGGTTTAAAACACTTCTCTCTGTAATATCTGTGCTTAACCTAAAGAGTAGGAAAAAAGGTATTAGTAAATTTATTAAATTTTTATTGTTAATAAATTTTGTTGGTCCTATTTAGTTTAATTTTAATTTTTATTTTTTGAGACAAAGTCTCCCTCTATCGGCAGGCTGGAGTGCAGTGGCATGATCCCCGCTCACTGAAACTGCCATTTTCCGGTTTCAAGCAATTCTCCTGCCTCAGCCTCCCAAGTAGCTGGGATTACAGGCACACACCACCACGCCTGGCTAATTTTTTGTACTTTTAGTAGAGATGGGGTTTCACCAAGTTGGCCAGGATGGTCTCGATCTCTTGACCTTGTGATCCGCCCGCCTCGGCCTCCCAAAGTGCTGGGATTACTGAGCCACTGTGCCCGGCCAGTTTAAATTTTTAATGTACTAAAAAGTTACGTTTATCTTTAGGATTCAGTGAGGAGAAGTTTATGACAGACATTTCAAGTTGTACAGTATTTCCTCACCATGTGCCAAAATATAATATTCCACCTGCTATTGGTAATACAATCCAACTTGTTTTTAATATAATGGTAATTTCTTTCTTTTTTTTAAAAAAAAAACAGGATTTCACCATATTGGTCAGGCTGGTCTTGAACTCCTGACCTCAGGTAATCCGCCTGCCTCAGCCTCCCAGAGTGCTAGAATTACACTGCGCCCGGCTTTATAATGGTAATTTTTAATGAAATTAAAATTTTGATAGGTAGTATAGCATAAACTAAATTTTATTTTAGAACTTTATTAATTTATAGAAGCAAGTCAAGTTGCTAAGAGTATTACATAATACTCTATGTACCAATGGCATTTGGTTTTAATAGGAAGATATATACTATATCTCTCACTAAAAAAATCATAAGCAATTTGATATACATTCTTCTGAAATAGTCTCACATCGTTTCTAAATTTCTGCAATTTTAAGAGGTGAGGATTTGTTTCTTAAAGATCTATAAAGCCAGGAATTTTTGTAAGCTATATAAAAGCTACAAAGTCATCTTAAATAGGGATGAGTTTATATGATAGATGCCTATAAAAATGCTGCCTACCAATCAGAAGGCCTTGAGAGAAGGAACCAAGATAAAGACCGGACAGCAATAGCCAACTACATTTTCTGATGCATAAAAGGTAAACTTTTAAAATTTAATCCTACAATCAATGGCTTAATTAAAAAAGAAAACATTTCTGGATCTATGAAATATGAGATAAAAGAAAAAACACAACGTGTATGTAAACTTTTTTTATTACTAATGTTCAGTCCCAAAGCAGTTAGAAATAAATGACATCTTGAAATATCCCATCTGTATCAGAAGCAAAACCAGGGCTCTTTATGACTATTACACTGGCTCACAGAAATAGTATAAAATTAGATGTCATATTATAATAATTATTTCAGGATAAAAATGATTTCAAGCAGCCAAAGTAGTGGATTATTTTAGAAAGAAAATAAAATCCATATAAAATTTTACAACATAATATATTTTAAAATAGTACTCCATAAAGATGCAAAGCAAGTATCACTTGGAAGGTGAGTTGGGAATGTTTTCTTCCACCATGTGAGACATACCCCACCCACCCTGACTTGTTCAACATCCTTAGCGATTCATTGCCTCAGACATTTCAGAGCTGAAGAAGCGTCTAGAGATCCTCAGTCCAACCCACTTCCCAACAGAGGATGAAGAACCCGGGGCCCAGAACCTGGAGCCATTTCCTCCTGATCATTTATGTCTCACTCCTGGGTTCCAGCCCCAGATACTCAGGCCACTGCTATTTGGTCTCCTTTATTAATCAATCTAGATTTTGTTAAGAAGTGTTTGTTGGGAAAGTGATGCAAAATTTAAGACAGAGTATTAAAACAATATAACGTTTGGGTCCAACTGGGGCCCTGTCCCCATCACGTCAGGTCTTTAAGGCTCTCTCCTGGGCTCACATTCCCTTCCCATCAACACGCTTGCCCTTGAGCTCCTTATCCTCTACACAGCTTCTGTTTCTGTGACATCTTATGCAAATGACTTTTTTTCCTTTTCTTTTTTTTTTTTGGAGACAGAGTTTCACTCTGTCACCCAGGCTGGAGTGCAGTGGCACGATCTCAGCTCACGGAAACCTCTGCTTCCCAGGTTCAAATGATTCTCTTGTCTCAGCCTCCAGAGTGGCTTGGACTACAGGCACCCACCACCACATCCTGCTAATTTTTTGTATTTTTAATAGAGATGGCATTTCACCATGTTAGCCAGGATAGTCTCAATCTCCTGACCTCGTGATCCGCCTGCCTCAGCCTCCCAAAGTGCTGGGATTACAGGTGTGAGCCACTGCACCTGATCACAAATGACTTTCAAATCTAAGTCTCTAAGCACTAGAACTAAACATCTAGCAGCTCTATGGGCATCGCTACACTGGCACCTCAAATTCTATTCAGCATGTCCTAAGCTGAACCCAACATCTTCCTCTTGTAACTGGCTATCCCTCTAGGTTCCCCATCTCAGATACTGAGATGCCAGAGCTCAGGCCTAAAACACCTTCAGCTGTTCCCTCCCATCCTCTCACCACCCATTTTCAAATGATCACAAAAGAACAACAGCACCTACCATTGAGTATCTACAATACAATAATTAAGCAATAACTACCAAAAAATCCATCTTAACACATTTCCTCCCAGTTTTTAAAAATTTCCTGCACAATTGGTACCTAATTCTATCTATATAATTGGGATCAAACATTGTGCACTTTTACATACTTTAAAAAAGTTATATACTAAGCATTCTAAGATATCACTAGAAACTTTACAAAACATTTTATTGGCCACATCAAATTCCATCTTATCAGCGACCATAATATACTTAAAGTATCCCCAAATTGTTAATTTCTCTTTTTTCCAAATATTTGCTATTAAAAATACCTATCCCTCCTTCTCTATCCCAAATCGTTCATGTCTTTTTATCTCTTAGGATACGTTCTTAGAATTCATTTCAAAGTTTTATATGTTTTTAGACTTGGTAACATACTAAGGCTCATTTTTGTATTATTAGTGGAGGCAGGGTTTCACAATGTTGGCCAGGCTGGTCTAGAACTCCTGGCCTCAAGTGATCTGCCTGCCTTGGCCTTCCAAAGTGCTGGGATCACAGGCGCGAGCCACTGTGCCTGGCCCAATTACACTTATAAATAACTGCTCAAGGCAATCTCTATCTATTCTAGTTTAAATTCTCAGAAGGCAAGGGCTGTGTCTTATCCATCTTTACATCCCCCAAGGTGCACACTGCACATCTTCCCATATTCCAAGCACTTAATTAATGTCGGCAGAATTGAAACACTTTTCAAATCAATTGCAAAAGATTTCCAGCTGTACCAAACTGATCCACCACTATTCTTCCAGGGTCAGACAACACTGGTGGTGTATTCTCGTTGGCATTCTTGGATACACTAACTAACCTTTTCATAAATTTGCAGAACCCAGCTGGATTGCTGCCATGTGATTCCCGTGCTCATCATATTATAAGACCACATCAGTTTACCAAGCCCTCTAGTTCTCTAGAGATCGCGTAGTTATTTAACCTCATATGTGATACCTGCTATTGTTTACCTGAAAATATTTTGTCCATGGAATTCCATTACCATTAGTTAAGAAATCAAAAAATATTATCCACATATCCACTGCATGTAGTGCCTATTACTAATCAAAGTAAATTCAGATTTAAAAATTACCCTGTATCCCAAATCTTTAGAAATATATTCTTTAGTTAATATATATTTGGCACAACCCCAGATAAATATAGTACTATTTGATATACCAATTATTTCCTTTATGGAAAAAATTTTCTTCATTTTTTTTTTAATAAATCAGAGATTTACACTTTAAGCAATATATAATATGCACTTTTACTGTATTTTTGTTTTCTAAGACTTATACCAAAAATTTCCATATGAATTTCTTGACAGGTGAATGAACTCAATAAAGGGTGGAAAAAGGGGAAGCTGATCTCAGTCCCTCCAGAAATTTTACTCTTTTACTTTTGCATGTTGGAAAAACAGGCAATAAACATGACTTTGCCTTGTTAGTAGCTGAATTGAGCCAAAATTGTTTGTGTAGGTATTTTAGGAATTTAGACAACGTACTCAATACATTAGTATGCATCATTGACACATACAACTTGGACCAAGGACACACACATACCCATTGGGATCTTGCAGCAAATCTACTGCTTCTCTCAGCTGCTCGATCATTGCTATATCCATGTCCTGATCTTTGGATGAACTTATTCTGTAACATGAAACCAAGCATAAGAATGAAAATGATCAATACAACATGAATATCATCAAATGTCTTAAAAGCAAACTTACAAAAATCCATCTAACATAGAGAAGTGACTTTGACAAATTCAGTGTTATGGTGAAAATGTGTTTGTACCTTGTGGGGTGGGATGCCAGAGTGTGGTGGGAAGATCCCCTGAGTAGGGGAAGCCCAGCTCTGCTGTAAAGCAGCTCCCTTAAGATTTTCATGCCTGTGCACCCCTAACTGCTCCCGTGCACAATCAGGCAATGGACTAGATGAGAGTCTCTCACAGTTGTGCTTTACTGAGATCTAGGAGGGTTCGTGGGGGGATCAGCTGGGCGGGTCTGTACTATTTCTGGGCCTTCCAACTCCAGTTCAACCAGTTTTATTACTTTCATGCATACAGAGTTTCATTGTGGGGCAGTCGTTCTCAGTCCAAACTCTAGATGCAGGAAAATCGTCTGTGGAGCTTAAAAACCATGCCAGGCCCTATACTTCCAAATGGGCCTGACTAGGGGTTCGGCATTTTATAAAGCTCTACAGCTAATCCTGGTTTACAGCCAGGATTGAAAACAGTAGATATAAGACTGAGAATGGAGTTTCCAAAACTTTATATAGTTTAAAAACAACTGCCTCTTTCCCTATGATTCTGATTGTACAATCGAGCTCGGCCTCTTTGGCTCTTAGCAGCATATCCAGTGAGTTGCCGATAATACAGACAGTGACTGGAGAGGAACTTTTACAATTTTTTTTTTTTTTTTGGGACAGAGTTTTGCTCTTGTTACCCAGGCTGGAGTGCAATGGCGCGATCTCACCTCACCGCAACCTCCGCCTCCTGGGTTCAGGCAATTATCCTGCCTCAGCCTCCTGAGTAGCTGGGATTACAAGCACGCACCACCATGCCCAGCTAATTTTTTGTATTTTTAGTAGAGACGGGGTTTCACCGTGTTGACCAGGATGGTCTCGATCTCTTGACCTCATGATCCACCCGCCTCGGCCTCCCAAAGTGCTGGGATTACAGGCGTGAGCCACCGCGCCCGGCGCTTACAATGTTTTTAAAGGACAAGAGAGATTTGATCACGGCAAGCCCTTCCCACTATAGAACATAAGCCAATGACTTTCTGTAAGGAGAAAAGTTTTAATAGGATAAATCCTCACTAAGAAGAAAAAGCCTACAAGGTATGATGGAAGAGTCCACACCTGCCTCCCAGATCATAGAAATAAAAATCGTGGGAACAGATACTATACTCTATGCCACATGGTCCAAACTCAATTCCCCTAGACATGGTTCACTGTCTGATGGGATCACTCACCCCCGTCCCCTGTAAATCTTGCTAAGTAAATACTTGTAGACAGTAAAGTAGAAGGATTATCTGTCTATACAAGAGTTCTTGGGTTCAAATGCCAGCCCTCTGTGACCTGGCGGCAAGATGACCAATCTCTCTGTGCCTCAGTTGTGTCATCTGTGAAATGGGCGACAAGAGCAGAACTTATCTGTTAGGACTGTTGTAAAGATGAAATGAGTTATGGCCTGGCACATGATATTTAATAAATGGTAGCTCTGGCTGTTAGAAGTCTTGGGACCAGAAGTCGATGGTGTTCTCAGATCTTGAAGGGGACGGCTTGGGGTAGAGAAGGAGATCAGCACTACAGATCACTTCAGGTCCAGCTGTTGGCCCCTTTAGGCAATTGTAAGGAAGATGGAACCTCCCTCCAGTCTATAAATTCTAGCTAATTCTCTGAATCACATTACTACCCACAGCCTCAAAGCAGATAAGACTCAGGGCCAACGAAGAGGTCTGTACTGCCCAATACCATGACAAAAAGCATCAGACAGAGAAAAACTGGCGACTTCTCATCAATATTGTCTGTAAGAATATCAGCTTGCCCACAGAAAAGCAGACCAAAATTCTCTCACAACAGGGCTGCCCGTCTGCTTGCAAAGCAGACTTGAGAGCGATGATGGCTCGTAACCAAGCCCTCGGCACTCACATGCCCTCAGTTTGCCAGTGCGCATCCTCTTCTATCCGTAACAGCTCCTCACAGTCTTCTGCCCTTGCCTGTGGACAAAACACACGGGGTTCCTGAAAACCACTGGCTACTCAGCAGTCGGGAGCCCAAACCTGCCCAGCCCAGGTTTATAACAGCGTTATTCACAACAGCCGAAAGCTGGAAACAAGCTGAACAGCCATCTACGGAGGGATGGATAAACAAAATCTGGTATGTATATGCACAATATTACTCAGCCTTTAAAAAGGGGAAATTCTCATGCATGTCATATATATTCATAAACCTGGAGGACATTATGCTACGTGCAATAAGCCAGTCACAAAAAGAAAAATACTGTACTCATTACACTTATATGAGGTGTCTACAGTAATCAAATTCATCCAGACAGAAAGTTAGAATGCTTGCTGCCAGGGGCAGCAATAGGAGGGAAATAGGAGTTGTTATTTCGAGGGTACACAGGGTCAGTTTTGCAAGATGAGAAGAGTTCTGGAGATAGTCCGCACAAGGTGAATGTGGTTAAAAAATAGCTAAGGTGGTACATTTTGTAAGTATTTTACCATAATTATTATTTTTTTCGAGATGGACTCTCGCTCAGTCACCCAGGCTGGAGTACAGTGGTGTGATCTCGGCTCACTGCAACTTCTGCCTCCCAAGTAGCTGGGACTACAGGCCCGCACCCCCACTCTCGGCTAATTTTTTAGTACTTTTAGTATAGAGACAGGGTTTCGCCATGTTGGCCAGGCTGATCTTGAACTCCTGACCTGAGGTGATCCACTCGCCTCAGCCTCCCAAAGTGTTGGGATTACAGGTGTGAGCCACTGTGCCTGGCAAAATTTTTAAATTAAAAAAAAAAAAAAATGTGGCCCAGGACCACAGCATCTGTTAACTTATCATCAGAAATTTAAAGCCTCACTGGATTCTCTGTTTCCCTTTTAGCACCTCCTCATATTGAGAGATCCCTCTCCTGGGCTTGTGGGTCACCTGTGAAGATGCACTCTAGTGTTTGTGAGAGCAGGGATATGTGTGTAAGTAGGAGTGTGCACGCATGTGTGTAGTGGGGAAAGGAGACAAGTATAAAACATTTAACAACAGAAAAGTGCTTCTGATTGCATCTAATAGTTTTCATGTGTACGACATCCGGAATTCACTCAAACGTTCTCCCTGTACCTCCACTCCACTGCTTTACAAAGCGACACTGTCGTGGCAGCGACTATTTAGAAAGGCATGTCTCACCATGGGCCTTGCATGTTCATCTCTGACACAGAGAAATGCTGCTTTAACCCAGCTGATGGCTAGAACAAAAGCCAACCTGAACAGGGCTACGTTTCCCTGGCAAGGAGAGAACCGCAGCCAAAAGGACCACTTTTGGTGTCAAGATTCCGACATATCAGTAGCTAACTCGGGACCAGCCAGTCCTCCAGATGTGTTGTTAGGACAAGACATTTCCCGAGGACATGGCTAGCTGCCCAATGCTGGAACTCTGGCTGGGAAAACACTTGGACTTTTTCTATAGTGATTATACTTTTCTTGTACAATATAGTCAACGTACAAATGTGCCGCTCTCCACACTCCAAATGATAGAAAAATTCATGGCTAAAAATACTACCAGCAATGATCAAGACAACGTGTTCTTATTTCTTTTTGTTGGGTTTCAACCATAGGAGCATCGGGTATTTCTTTGTAATTTTTTTGTTTCAAAACCAAAAGTAGCCAATAGTATAAAATGTCTCATTTTTTCACTAGGCAAAACAGGCTCACTGGGCTGCTTTTGTGAAGTTGAATGGTTACACAGTTGCTTCTCCTTATCTGTGGATTGTGCATGTGTGAGTTTGCCTACTCACTAACAGGTATTTTCAGTTCCCAAAGCAGTACTCGCCGTGCTCTGGAGGCCGTCTGCAGACATCTGCAGCGTGGTGAAAAACTTGAGTCAGGATGTGCATGTTCCTAGATCAGGTGGAACGAGGTGACACTCCGCTTTCTTCTTTCATTACTGCAAATAAGTGGCCTTTTCCATAGTCTAATTAGAGTCATGTTTTCACACCGCTGTGCTTTTTCTTGGTGATTTCACTTTAAAATGGGTCCGAACATAGTGCTGAAGTGCTGCCTTGTGCTCTGAAGCCCAAGAAAGCCGTGACACGACTTACAGAGAACAATACGTGTATTAGACAGGCTTCCTTCAGGCATGAGTTCCAGTGCTGTTGGTTATATATTGAATAAGGTATCTTTAAAAAGAAATGCACACAAACCAAGGTTATGTGTTAACTGGTTGACAAAAATATTGTGACCAGAGGCTTGCAGGAACCCAGCCCTCTATTTCCCCAATGAGTGATGTCTCAGTATTGGATAATTCAATATGCACAGTGATGTCCCACAATATAACTGCTGTGAATAATGAAAATTGACTGTGGTTACAAAGGTCCAAGATGCTTATTCAGTAAAGAAAACAGGATTACATAAAGCACAGAACTCTGTTTTTTTGAGAAGGTGTCTCGCTTCTCCACCCAGGCTGGAGTGCAGTGGTGCAACCATGGCTCACTGAAGACTCAACCTCCCAGGCTCAAGTGATCCTCCCTCCTCAGCATGCTGAGCAGCTGAGACTCGAGAAGCACACCATCACACCCAGCTAACTTTTGGTTTTTTATAGAGATGGAGTCTTAGTATGCTGCCCTGGCTGGTCTTGAACTCATGGGCTCAAGTGATCCTCCTGCCTCAGCCTCCCAAAGTGGGGAATTATAGGCGTGAGTCACTGTGCCAGGTCAAGCACAGGTTCAAAGACTTAAAGTTGATGGATATCAAGCCTACTATGGGCCTGATTTTCAATACGTAATTTTTCCTTAACTTGTTACAGATGTTTATTTTATCATTAGTATTTTTCTTTTGATTTTTCAAGAGAAGTATCTTCAGAAAGCATTTGCCAAGTTGACTTCCACACCTCCATCTGCTCCTCTAGTTTCCATCCAGGGGACCCATTCAGCACAGCAGCCATTTCCACAAAGTCCTTGAAATCTCTGAATCCAGGGAAAACAGCTTTTCTGAAACAATATGCTTTATTTTTACTAACTGCTTTGTTTCCTCTGGAACTTAAATATGGGCATCTTCTTAACATATTCTTCAAGGTTTCCATCTTTACCTTAGATTCTTAACTTAAGATGAATGCTTGATAAACTCCAATTTTTACATTTTCATAGCAGAATCATCCCACAGAGCTGAGTGAGGGAGTCTAATTTGGGGAAGCCTCGCAGAACCAGTGGCCTGAGAGGAATGTAATTAGATTTCGACTTTAGAAAAATGTTTGGTGGCAGACTATATTTGTGTGTGTGTGTGTGTGTCTGTGTGTGTGTGCGCACGCACACCCGCATGCATGCACAGGGGTGCAGCACTGGGTTAGAACTGGATTGGGGCAGGTGGTGCCTGAAGTGATCAAAGTGAGAAACGATGACGCTCAAGTGAAGCAATGTCAACGGAGACGGTACAGAAACGAGGCAAGGGGTGTGACCTGTTTTAAAACAAGGATGTATGGATTCACAACATTAAATACAGAGAATAAAGAGTTAAGGCTCTCTGTGTTTTATCCTTCTATACAACTTCTGTAATCTGTAAACATATGTCAGGTTCATTATTTTGGTCTTGAGTCCATAACCATAACCACACAAAGTCTCCTACAGAGATGTGAATTGAGGCTGGGTCCAGCCATCAGGACACAATGCTCAGAAAATAAGGACGAGAACTCAGGGATCCCTTTCTGGGCTTCAACAGAGTAACTCAGAAGTTACCTCACAAGCCACAGTGAATCTGAATTTTACGAAACAATCATCGTTATGATTCTTGGGTGCCACAATCTGAACCAAAAGGGCTGGGAGAAATCTACCAAGCACCTAGTCATGTTGTGACGTGGAGCCTTCACTACCTGCTTCAGTAAAGGGCTGGTTTTTCTCTCCTCTCTATGTTGCTGCTAAGGTGAAGGTTTTCCTGACAACTCGGCAACTTCACCTGCCCTTTCAATGCCTTGGAGCACCTACCAAAGTTCAGAAACAAGTGTCCTCAGAGTGAGCTTTCCAGAAAGGAAAGACATCATTTCTCAATTTTAAAAGTCTCCACTTTTCTCTTTACACTATAAATATACTCCCTAGAATATGTTGAAAAGAATGTGAAACAATTTCAGCTTTTACTGCATGGAAATGATCACACTAATGAGTTTGCTAATTTGTATGATGCACTGAGTAGTGAGAAAAAAAATCGGATCCATAAGCAGACACATGGAAGGCACACATGGCAGGGCCAGCTGCTCACGTCAGCAAATAGACACGTGGGCACTGAGGCATTCGGGAGGCTTCAGGGAGGGCGCGGCAAGCTGGACACTGGAAGGGAGGGACTGGCAACCTTGAACGTAAATTGCACGGTGCCAAACAGAAGGAAGTGGGTAAAAAATTTAGTTGATCCTGAAAATCTTACCTTAAAGTTCATAAACTCCGGATGGAGACCATCTGCTCTGTCAGTAAACTGGTCTCTTTCTTCTCCTGAGTTGGTGCTGTCACCCAAAAGGGAAGGCTTTGGTTGAAATTCCTGATGAAATTTCCCTATTAGGAAAATAAAGAGAGAGAGGTAGAAAGTGTGATTTCGTGAACAGAAGAGCAAAGCACAGCTGATCCTCAAACATTATCTAATCACTTCAAGTCTTCTCTGTTCCCTATTAAGAAGGTATATGAAAAACCCAAGTTTTCTCTTCCCTGCAGGGAGGAAAAGACAAAAATTAAAAAATAAAATAACCCTGGAAAGCCCCAAACTGAACTTAAAAAGTCAAGGCCTCTCTGTGGCTTAGTTCCCTATGAGAAAAAGGAGATTTTCTCTTACCTTTTTAAGGAATGGAGAAAAGAAAGTATAAAAGATGGCTTTTTTTTTGCCCTCAGTAATATGCGAAGATGTATTCCATATTTAAAATTCAGCAAATACTGAGCGGCGACTAAGTTGCAGGTATTACGCTAAACATTTTAGGGATTAAACAATCAGCCAGGTCTGACTCCTGTCCTTAAGCAGGAAATCATGTCAAGGAAGAGCGTGAGAGGGGACTAGGCAAGAGCCCCAAATCATAGCAGGAAAAGAAGTGTCTACGAGAAGGGTCACCCAGAGCGACAGCATGCCCAGGTGGGGCAGGTCCACCTCGAAGGTGTTCCAGGGGAGGCGGAGAGCAAAAGGAGCACCCTGTGGAACTCTTCCAACTGTTCTGAAGACTAGAAAGAGCCACACTGGGCCACCCTTTAAACACTCTAAGCCAACGCAATACCCACATCTAGACTAGAGAGGGAAGACTCACTGGTAACAAATTCTGTAATTCTTTCATTTGAAAAATCTGCCTAAAATACTACCTCCTACAGTGCATAATACTACTACGTTTATATGAATTCATAAAGTGGCAGTTATATTTGCATATAAAGCATACAGCTATGTTTTTGGACAACATACGGTTCCCATCATAATCTCAGGTAAACGGAAATGCTAAACTTAAAAATCTAGGTGTAAAAAGTAAAAGGAAACACTAAGGTTTGAGTGAACTTAAACAGCTCTCCTATCTCTAGTAAGAGCATATTCCAACTATTTACGAGAAGTTCTGTATATTAATCCAGTTCTACATTATTCATACATTGTGAAATAGTCTCTGCCAGAAATCAGTAACACTAAATGTCTGTATTTTCCTTAAAAGTCATTGGGAAACAGGGGTGGTGAAAAAAATGGCCATAATATTACCCAAAGAGGGCTTTTAACCAAGATATGAAATGTATTACAAGGATCTCAAAGACACACAAGATAGAGTGTGTAGTGGTCATTTGATGATTATGAAAGAGCCCCTGAATTTGAGAACCACATAGGACCTTTGAGATCACCTAGTCTAATCATCTCCTTTACAGGTGAGGGAATCAAGGTCACCTGACTGGACCAAAGTCAAGTCGCTTCTTGAACACACACCTCACCTACATTTCCCACCCTCATGTGCAGTGAGATGTGTCCACAGGAGGAAGTCTAGCTTATCAGTGATGGGCACTCCTTCCAGGCGCAGTCCATAAAAACCTCCCATGAGTAAACCTCCATACTCTTCTTCTTCTGGCTTCAAACAGTTGGGCATGGAAGTTTGGGAAGCCCTGTGTTAAAGATGATGGAGTCACGGTACGAAGGAGCGTGGGTCCTTAAATCACCACTCGGAGGGGAGTTGTCTGCCAATCACCAATTCCATCTGAATTTCATTTGAATTGTGTTGAGCCACTGAGATTTAGGAATCTTCTACGTTATAGCAGCCAGAGTTTCCCTAACAATGTATCTACCATATCAACATTTTCTTTCCAATAATGGATTTAAAGAATTAGCCAGGCATGGTGGCAGGAGCCTGTAATCTCAGCTACTTGGAAGCCTAAGGCAGGAGAATCCCTTGAACCCAGGAGGCGGAGGTTGCAGTGACCTGAGATCATGCCACTGCACTGCAGCCTGGGCAACAGAGTGGGGCTCCATGTCAAAAAAAAAGAAAAAAAGCATTTTATCTAAGTCTTCAGAATGAGACTAGTCTACTATGTACTGTAGTAAGTAGTACTACACACACACCTACTGTGTGACCAATGGCAAGTCACTTATACTCTCCGAGCCTTGGTTTTCTCACCTATAAAATGGAGATGATTAGAGTATCCATCTTAGACTTTTAAATGTGAAATGAGATCAGCTTCCCAGATGGAACACAGTGCCAGGTACACAGTAAATACTCTATAAAGATTATCACTGCCATATCTGTGCACAGCTTATTTTAAACATAACATTTGAAGCTGAAAAATAAGCACTTTCTCCACGTTTTCATTCTCAGACCTTTAACGGGGCTAAGGCGATGGCACGGGTCCTCCTTGATGATCTGTTCTTCTTCCATGATATTTGACATTGGCACATTGAGGCTAACAGTGTCTTCATCGGAAGGCTAAAAAGATACAGGGCACTGTTTAATTCAAGAGAAGTGTTATCAATGTATATACAAGAGAATGCTATGTAATAAAACAACATTCTGTGATTCTTAAGAACATCATATTGAATATAAGTTGCCAGATACAAAGGTGAATTCCACTTACGTAAGTTCATAGAAAGCAAAACTGAAACATGGCATGGAAATCAGGATTGAGGGTGTTCTTGGGGTCGGGGTGGGGCTTTCTGGGGTGCTGGTAAAGTTCTGTTTCTTGAACTGGCAGCTGGTTATACGATGTGTTCACATTGTGAAAATTCACGGAGATAATACTTACGGCTTCTCTGTGTTTTATTCTGTTTTAAGCTGAAATCTTGTCAGGTACTGATAAACAGTTTGGATGTGTGTCCCCTCCAAATCTCACATTGAAATGTAATCCCCAGTGTTGGAGGTGGGACCTGGTGGGAGGTGTCTGGGTCACGGGGTGGGTCTCTCAAGAAGGGCTTGCGCTGTTCTTGCTAGTATTCACGTGAGATCTGGTTGTTTAAAAGTGTATGGCACCTCCCCCATTGCTCAACCCCATACCGTTGCTCCCTTGCTCCCGCTGTCACCATGTGACATGAGGTTCTCCCTTCACCTTCAACCCTGACTTCTGAGGCTCTTGCCAGAAGCAGTTGCTGGTCACATGCTCTGTGTACAGCCTGCAGAACTGTGAGCTAACTAAACCTCTTTTCTTTGTAAATTACTCAGCCTCAGGTATTTCTTTACAGCAACACAAGAAGGAACTAACACAGGTGCCTGTCTTATTTCTCTACTTTAGGCTGAGGAAGCTGCATCACATATATAAAAGTGCTAAACAACTGTAGTAGTTAAAAGGAACTGCTCCGTGTGATGTTTGGAATAAAGATTTGGCTTCATATTGGAGTTAGTTCTCTCTGAGGGTTTCCTTTCCCACAGTAGCTGATGAGGCGTATTCAGAAAACTATATCCTGAAATATGGAGGCTGGTTTATTTTCTTATGTCTCCATTTTACTGTTGCTATTTAGGGAATAGCTTTCCAAATCTCAAAAATCAGGAACCTCCACAAAACACATTCCAGAAGATTGTGGCTTGCTCCTAAATTCTTGAGGCATGGTTTTCAGAGTCTGTTCTTGTTTACTTTTGGACATATACACACATTGTTTAGAAACTGGCAGAAATCAGGCATGCATTTCATTCATTCAACAAATATTCATAGAGCCCCACACTTTCTTTCCTGTTTATCTTGATAAAAAGACATTTTTAAGTTCTCAATGACAAATGCTAAATCAATCAATGGCAGCAGCCAAAGAAAAAGAACGAGGTAGGATCCCTGAACCCCACAATGTGATGTGAATGGGAAGATCACCTGATCACAGGTGGAAAAATCTCTGCCAAACCAAGTGAAAATAGGAAGCTACGTAAGATAATTCTGAACACTTACCATTCTAAAAAATAAATTTCTTGGAGCTGTTCTTAGGAAATAAGGCTGCAACGTGAGACAAGGAGAGGCCAATGGGAAGATGTGAGCATTTTATTCTGTTGAATGGAATCTTTTCTGTATTACCTTCTCTTTCTACCCACCTCTCATCTTAAACAATTAGCAAAATTCCAAAGATATGCATCTAATTAAAAGGCACAGAATAAATCCTTGGGTTTCTTCTAGAATGATTTTAGCAGCCTATTTATGCTTCAGTGAGAACAAAAGGATAATGAAGTTCTTTATGTAATGTTTTATTAAGGAGATTTATTAGCCTTAGAAGAGAGATAAAGCAGTCTGTTTAATTTAACAGAAAATATGCTTAGGGTGAGTAACGTCTGAAACAATGGTCCATTTGCTAGGACTCAGAAGTTGAAGAGCATGAATTAAAATGCAACTTCTAAAGCAATGTGTTTAGGATCGCCTCTCTCCCACCAACCACAGTAAACTATTGATCTGGCTTCCTGTGGGTTATTTTCTTTTATTGACACTGGCCTTCTCTGCCTACTAACTCTTCTTTCTTCCAAAATGTTCTAAATTGGAAGGATTATTGAAGATGAAAATGCTCTTATCTACCTTAGCTACCTATTAAGTACCTCATCTACCCATTAAAACTCAAAGACTTGAGAAGAATTATTCCTGGAGTCATATATAGAAAAAAATGTGAATTTCTTAGATGGGGTAATTGGTCTATTAACTACAATTTGAAAGAGTATTATAGTGTTTCAAAACTTAGTAACTACAGAAAGTCAGTAACTTCCCTCAAAAAAAGAACACCTGATACTTTTCCTACCATTCCTTTCCAGGTCCCTGAGGCTAAGAAGCTCCATTTAATGATACATCAGTGTTAGAGTTGGGGAAATCTAATAGACTACATGTGAGATAATCAATCAGTTATCAAAGCATTGTATATAACCACAACAGGAAGCTCTACTGTGTGAGGCCTGTTACCTTACATGTAAACCAAACTTTGTCCAATTATCTGAACAGAACAGAACACAATCTAAGGGTTCCAGGAAAATATTGTTATAAAAACTATAGCTACTAATAAATGGATTTCCTGTGGGTAAACTACCAAAATAAAATGTACACTTGGTTCCTTAACATTTATTCATATGCATAACAATGCTTTTCTAAATTACTCATTACTGAAAAATAAGTATATTTATAAAAGCGCTTCAGGGGCACTTGCATACTACTTAGCCACTCTGTAATATTTATTAAGCATTCAACAATATTTTAGATAATGTATGGAAGAGGAAGCAGGTACGGACTCTACTCTTGAGGTATTTACAAAATATTAAAGATGCAGAATAAGCTAACAACAGCTAATATTTACATAACAGGATTTCAAATTGTTTTTATGAATATCACATACTCTCATACAAATGAATCAATGCCCTTTAGTGGAAAGGAGTTCAATGAACACTGGTAGATACGTCTAGAAGCACAGAAAGAAAAGAATCTCATCACTAAGTTTACCTCGGTGGCAGATAATCGCTTATCTCCATTATCACTTCCAACTCCCGAATCAGAATCCTTCTTGCTGAGATAGATGCCATCAATATTGAATTCATTTAAAAAAGATTAAAATCACAAAGATCATACCAAGAAACATCAATTTATATTCTAATAATAATTTTGCTATGCAAATTGTTATTATTACTATAAGAGAACAAATCAGTCTAGCATTAAAAAACATTAAGACATGGACCTAATGAAAATCAGACAGTAGCACAGCGTAAACACGGTACACGATAAAATTCTTTGTGTTCAGGGTTTCATGGATTTATGCTCTAAGCAAGTTGCTCGCTCTTAGATATCAAGGTATTTCTTAAAAATAGTTACCAATGTTTTTATTGTATTGAATCTAGCACATAAAAAAGTAATAAACCACATAACTGCTTTTACCCCTTATGTTATGAAATGTGGTTGCTTTCAATAATTCTGTAAACTTTTATCCAGAGATTAAGTACATTTGATAAGATCTTTGCAAAGATAAAACAGTAGATATGTATTTTAAGCATTAGATAAAAGTAACATTAGGATAGCCCGAAATTTTAAATTTACTTATTTAGCAAAAAGCGAAGGAAAAGATTTCTGCAATGAAGAAGAACCTGCATTTCTACAACTTTGTTCAGGGTGGGAATTTTGTTTTTTGGAAGCTCAAGGCTTGATATATGCCACAAGAAGCCCTAGCAAGTGTGAAAGGATTCTAACACTTCCATTTGAAACAGGAAGTGGCAAAAGAAATACACATACTTCATTTTTACAAGACCAAAAATAAAGCCTTCATTGTTTTCTTAACATTGTTTCTGGAGGCATATTCAACATTAATAATTGCTAAAAAGGCATGTCTGGGCTCAATATCATTATTCTGATAAGTAAAAAGTATCCATATTTGTATTCTAGATCTTATTTGTAAATCTATGCACATTTACTCAGGAAGACCTGATTATTGATTAGGAGATAGTAGATGATATTTGAGATATACCGAAATATTCTCAATAGCATCAGTTTTTTATTTCCTATCCAATAGTTTTTCAACTTCTAGTTATAAATATGAATTAGGTGAGTAAAGCAACTTGTTTTGTTTTGTTTTCTGCAGATACCATGGTGACTTAAACAAACAGATTTTTGAAGAAGGCTACCTGGAAGGCCTTGGCCTTTTAAACTGGGGCTTTGAGTGACAGCATGACTCACCTGTCTTCCACGTGCTGGTGTAAATGTGGCCTCTCCATGGTGTGGAGATAAAGGGAGTCAGCTGTCTTAATCTGGCATGCTTGTATGCTCAGATATTTAAATATGTGAACTTTGCCCTTTGTGCAAATCTATAAAGAAATTAATAATCATATTGATTTTTCAATGACAAAACAAAGTGTAAGTATCAAATCCTTACTCTGAATATTTCAATTTCCCCAATTTCATTTAATGTACACTAAATCTGTCCTTTCTAAAACATGTAAGAATTTTGGGAATTATTCCCTCCAAATTCTACTTTGAATAGAAAACCATGCTTAAGCAATTTCCAATTTTTTTCTTGCATTAAATTATAAAACTCTGACATAAATGTATTCAAGTATAAACAGTATACAAAGTATAAAGTCAGATGACTGCCCTGGTGAAATTCCAATTACAAAAGATGAGAAAAGCACAATTATTTTCAAGCCCATAGAAAGCAATTCAGAGCCTAAAAATAACTGTAGATTTAAGAAGCTGTTAAATTATTTAAACAGAAAATAAGCTTCAAAATATTTACATGGTTAAGCATCTGAAAGAACAGTACTTCATTTTTCTCTCATGCAGTTTAATATTTGAGCTTGAAACCTATCTCTAAATAATCAATAACCATATTTTAAGGTGTTTAAATTCCATTTTCCAGCTAACATTCAAATAAGAAATATATGGAGGGCAGAGGGCTCATATCTGTAATCCCAGCACTTTGGGAGACTGAGGCGGATGGATCACTTGAGGTCAGGAGTTCGAGGCCAGCCTGGCCAACATGCTGAAACATCGTCTCTACTAAAAATACAAAAATTAGCCAGGCATGGTGGCAGGCACCTGTAGTCTCAGCTGCTCAGGAGGCTGAGGCAGGAGAATCATTTGAACTTGGTAGGCAGAGGTTACAGTGAGTCAAGATCATAACACTGCACTCCAGCCTGAGCAACAGAGCAAGGTTCCATCTAAAAAAAAACCAATCAATCAATCAATCAATATACTCCATGAAAAAATTTCAAATAAAGTGATAAATAATGAGACATTTAATTCTGGAGTTGGAGTGATTAGAATAGTGAGCCAAGTGCTGGTGAATAGATTTGATGCAGCGGAAGACAATTTATTGCAGTCAGATCCACTCAAGGGTTCACTGTGATTGTTTATAATCAAGTTTTATACGGTATTATTATTTTCATCAGAGAATCAGAAAACCCACCTTTGGAGAGTTGCTTAAGCATAATTGATAGCCTTGGGAATCAGAAAACAATACCCCAAAATGAAGGCCTCGGAAGCAAAAGATTTTCTCTGACCTCTCCTGCCCTCCTGTCTCTCGGTCCCATTCTCCCCAGGGGGAGTCTTAGAAACTTGAATCCCTCTTCCCAAAGCTGGTCCTAGAAACCAGAACCCCTTTTCACCAAAGCCAGCCATAAAACTTCAAAATATTACTTGAATTTTCCCTCTGCCTTTCTGTGTAAAAACTGGCCATAAAGAAATTATGTGACCTCTCTTGTTTGACAGTAGATCATAAGAACTCCCATTCCAAAGAGGGTCCTGCCCCACACCCAGAAAGAAGAAATGATCCTCAGAGAGGCCAAGAAGAATCCAGATAGACAGGCTCTGCTCGGTTTGGTCCACTCATATTTCTGCATGGCTGTCCATACTTTGTCAACATACAAATGGACAATTTCCCCTGTATCTTAGGGTCTTCACTCTGGAGGCTTCCCTGCACATGTTAATAAATTTTGCATGCCTTTTCTCTGATTAATCTGCCACTTGCCAATGATTAGTGATTTTCAGCAAATTTTCAGATAAAGGAGAAATTTCCCTTGGCCCCTAGAACAAACAGCACCTCCCATGGGGCAATGGCTTTGCTGCAAGACCCCTCACCTGTGCTGGAGGAGACTGCAGAGGGTTATTCTCAAGTAGTAACACTTGCAGCTGCTTCATCTCTCTAAAGCAAATTGGAATCACCAGCACTTTGTTGCAGGAAAAGTCAAACTTTACCAAGGGAAGATCTACTAGTTCTAAAGTAATGGAAAAAAGAAAAAACCTTAGAAAGCAGTAAGATTAAATGGCTAATCATTCAAAAGTTAATGTTCGGCATCTCAGGAAAAATATAACTGAACATAATCAAAGGCAAGTTGTACATTAGGAATACATGGTATGTGTATACAACATTTTACCAAAGAGGGAAAATCTTTTCATTGCATGCCCCAAAAGTTTTAAGCTGTTGTTAGTTCTGATAAAAACTGGAAACACTTCACATTTACAATATCTATTGTTTAAAAATACATTTTTTTTTCCAGCAAAAGAATCACGCAAGCCACATCACACAGGACATGTTTGTTTTAACTTTAAACTGTTTCCCAGTAGCACTGGCTAGCCCATGAGTAATATGTTAATTACAGAATATTCTTATCTAATCAACGTATCTGGGCTGGCATTATCCCAGAACTAGCTACACTAAATATATTCCTGAGTTTTTCAACTGCATTTCAAAAAAACATATGTTATCCAATTCACAATTTTCTGATGACGGGCCCTGTAATTCTGGTATGATGAGACTTTATTCCACAGCTTTTAAAAAGTCTTTGTAGCTCCACTCACAAGAAGGAACATTACATTTAGCTTAAAGTCCCCACCCAGTGGCACAGTAAACACTCAGTAATTTCAAGCATTCAAACCGACATGGGCAGCTGCTAGGAATAAAGTCAAATATATTCCACAGAGCAAAGAGGCTGAGCCACGCCAGACATCTAGGGTGACGCAGGCAAGCCACTGAGATCTGTGTGTGGGGGGCTAGGAAGGGTCCACTCCAGAAAGAGGCCCGGGAACTTTTGTGATGGGACCTATTAAGGGATGGAATATTGTGCTTTCAAACACTCAAGGAGTTCTAAAGTGGAAGGCGGGCAAGAATAGAGTGTATTAGTCCAATCATATTTCTACATGGCTGTCCAGACTTTGTAAGCATACAAATGGACAATTTCCCCTGTATCTCCGGCACTGCCCTGGAGTAAACTTTCACACTGTTTCTCCTCTGCCCCTTACACTGCTCTTCGGTTTTCACTTGACTCAGTTACATTGATTACTTCAATTTCCACAAGGAAAAGATTCTAGTAACGAGTAGCTCTCTCAGAATTCAAGGCACTCTGGGAATGTAAGGGACTTTCCTTCATTCATACCTTAGTGAATGCTGTTGTCTTAAAGAAAGGAGGGATAGGACTGGAATTCTAGAGAGGAGGCAGAAGAGCATCTAGGGCCATGAGTTCCAAACTCAGGTCCATGACAGGTGGGCTGTGCAGGAGAAACTCAGGAAGTGTATTTTTAAAAGAATATAGATCCCTGGGCCTAAAGCCAAGGAATCTCTATTTTATAAATTGCCCTGAGTAGTTAGTCAGTCCTCACACCCAGCTTGCCTTCCCTCTGGCAGGATGAGGGACTGACCTCAGGCCACACTGGTCCTGGAGGACACTGGAATCGTGAAAGTGAAAGGATAGGAAAAGCAAGATCCTCTTTCACGGCGCAGCTTGTGTGTAAGATGGCTAAGAACTGTGGAGGTTCCATGAGAAGAGGAACGCCTCCTGGCTGTTACCCCTAGCAATGTCAACCTATCTGTGAGACAGTTAACTGACGTTAGGTTGGCAAATCACAGGAAAAATTTAACTGGACTCTGGATCTTCAGCAGTGATTTGCCACTTAACACGAAGACTTCAGAACAAGACTAGAGGGCTAAGTACCTGGAAGACACAGCAGGAGAAAACTTACAGATAAATAAAATAAGTGATGGTTTTATAACGACCATTTCCTTTCTAGTTCCACTTTGGAACGCAATTGCCATAATAGTTTAAGAAAGCAAGAGCCAGACAGTTTCACAACAGTAAAACGAAGGAGAAAATGATAATCTCGCAACGGCAGCCCAGGAAAGGTCAAAAGAAGCGGAGTAGAAAAAGGGAGCAAGAAAAAACGCAGCAGCAGAACGAACCCCACTCTCTGTCCCCACTGCTAAGAGAGGCGGTGAATGGCTATTTTAACCCTCTGTTCATTCTAGTCCTGGAAAGAATAAAATATGGTCTTCTTATTGCAGCTGTTGTAGTAAAACACCACAAAATTGACATCAGTAATTAGGCCACAGTTTGGGTTTTTTCTTTTTCATCCTCAGATTGAAAGCATACAAGAAGAGGAATCCAAAGAGGAAAAACATACACGTAAATAGGGAGAGTCTTCACAGTCACTGCCTGAAAGTATTTTCAATGGTCTTTTGTCAATAGAGTTCTCCAGAGTGAAGCAAAAAGAAACTTGATATTCAGGAAATTATTTTTTAAAAAAATTTCCAGTAAACTGAAGTTTTAGCTTTGAGTATATTTTTAAAATAACAAAACTGAGAAAACATGGAATAACTGATCTTTTTAAGGGAAAGGAATGTTTTTAAGGTAAGAGAAGAAGGAGCAGTGAGAGACAAAAACCTATAGTTTGTGAGTATACTTTCTTTCCACGTTTTTAAACTCTAACAGGCAATTGCAAAATGAGCAAATTAATTTTTCCTTTTGAAAATGAGAGTTCAATTATTTGTGGCATTTTCACAATGATTAACATGAGAGCTTATGTTTAAATGAAAGTTTTCGTTAACTCATAAAAGGCTGTATGCATATAAATTTGCTATTAATAAGCTTTCCTTTTGTACTCACTTAATCCAAACACAAGTTTCACATATTCGAAAAATGAGATTGTACAAGGACAAAATGAAAAATCAATCAATATTTTTAAACCAGGTCATCTCAAGTACTGAAGTAAAAAAATGCTGAGTTTCTAATGCTGCTTCTCTAAAATGCTAGTCAGATGAGAAAGGTGAAAGACAGCAAGCAGACTTGAGCCTCCCATCTGTAAAGCACATCACATTTTGCAAAGTTCTTTCTCTTTCATGAGCTCCATTTTCTTGCCTTATTATGAAGCATTTCAAGCCAAAGAGCAAGATGTAGAGACAGGATAATTAAAATGAGGCATCCATAAACTGCTCCATCAATATCAGATTAACCAAACGCTGACAGTTTCCGAATACTACTGGGTTTTGAGTAATATTTTTAAACATATGTTTGAAATTGGCTATGTCTAGAGACCTTAAACAAAAACAATGGAAATCAATGTGATCTCTGAAAACCAGAGTATGCTTTGGAAAAGGCATTCGGAGTTCCGGACTCATCCGTTCATTCCTGATCCAGGTCCAAATCCAAACACGAAATTCAGATCCCCTCCTCCCTACGAGGCTGGCTTCATGGTCTAAATGGTCCACAATTTCTGAATAAATACATATATCTTCCCTGAACCCAATACACTGTACCAGACAGACATACCATGGAAGCCCATGGCTGCAGAGCAGGGCTGTCTGACGTCTCGGCATTCGTGCTGGGTGGCTGGGAGCCACGTCTCAATGCTCAGGCTCTGCAGCCACCACTGGTGAAACTTACCAAGACCACCAGTGAGACATTAGTCCAAATGTCACTCCAGCAGAGGCAGCACTCTTACCTCAGAACAGATTCTAGACACTGGGGGTTCCCAACCAGAGTTCCCAGATCCCCAAAGCTAGAAATCCTGATAGCCAGGATCTGTAGAACAAAGCATGTCCCCGAAATGTCATGTTCCAGAATGTCACATACCCATACCCAAAACAATTCATGTCACCCCTGCGATGGGCTGGCTTGAGTCCTTCCAAAATCCATGTGTTGCAGTCCTAATCTCTGTTACCTCAGAATGTGACTGTATTTGCAGACACGGTCTTTAAAAGTGTGATTAAGTTAAAATGAGGTCATAAGGGTAGTTCTAATCCACCGGTGTCCTTGTAAGAAGAGGAGGTTAGGACACAGACATGCGCAGAGGGGGAACAACGTGGAGACACAGGGAGGAGGAGATGCCACCTACAAGCCAAGCTGAGAGGCCTCAGAGGGAAGCAACCTGGCTGGCACCTTGATCCCAGGCATCCAGCCTCCAAAATTCTGAGATGAAGTTCTGTTATCGAAGCATATAGCCGCCCCAGCAAACTAATACACCCAAGCCCACCACCCTGCCCCACAGCATTACCTAGGGGAATGATTTTGTTGCTGTAGCCCTCAACTAAAATCACAGGCTGAACATCACTTTTTTGTTATCTGAATGTGAAATTCAAATCCAAATTATTAGTAGTAGGCATGCGCGCGCGCACGTGCGCGCGCACACACACACACATACACACACACGATCCACCCTTTACTTTTTGTTCACAAAAGTAAACCAAAAAATAAAATAAAATAAAAAAATGAAAGTCTCCCATTTTCTTCATTTCCCCTCTTTCCTTTTTACCTTGGGGTAGAACTTTCAGGTAATTTCTTCTGACATTCAGTTCTCGTAGAGCTTTCAACTGCCCTATCTGCTGGGGCAATGCTGTGATCTCGTTGCAGCTGACATCCTGTGTCAAAAGCAGAGAGAAAAATCATAAACGTCTTTTTCCAGGAAATCCCGCATGTCGTGAAATCTCCTGAAGGAATTTAAGTATCTGGACAACTACACAGGTGCACTTTTATATTCATCTCCAGGTCCCTAGCATGAAGGCTCGGCACAGAGAAGAAAAAGAAAGTTGAACATTTTAAACTCCCTCAGAGGAGAGAAAAATGGAGAAAGCATGGACATTAGTAGCAGTCGGCTGCTAATTCACCAGCCTCTGGGCTGCCACTTTGACATGCTTCGATTTTACTGAATTCTCACAGCAAACCCGTGAGGCAATATTACTAGCCTAATATTTACAAATCGAAAAATGAGGCTTGGAAAAGTTTAGCCAGATGCCCAAAGCATGCAAGTGCCAGAGTTAACACTAGAAATGAATGATCAGCTCCGTCCCAGCCACTATCCCACCATGCCTCTAAATAGAAGACTACAGTGCATCTTATTTTACCAAACTCTCACATTTTGCGGTGAAAAACTAGGATATTAACACACTGTTTGGATGCACTATTTATTTAAAATGGAGTTCTTCACCACAGGCTAGAAACCTGACAGCTGGCCACCTTGCCATACATCTCACAAGCACTTCTTGTCTTCGTTGCTTTGGGAAGCAAATACTCAATTCAGGCTTGACTGGAATACCCTCTTGACACATGGGAAATGGAGGCCTTAACATTTATAATTTTCTGTATTTTTAGGATCTCCCCGAATCCCACTCTTCCTCTTGGCCCCGGGAGTTGTGCGCTGCTCTTCACTCCCCTACACACCCCCAGCTACTCCTGCAGTGTAGACCAGTGCTCTCTCTTAGCTGGGTGCCATCATCATCTCCTGACTGGTTTCCCTACACCAGGCTCCTCAGATGTACCCTTCACAAAGCAGCCAGAGTGCAAATGCCATTATGCTGTTCACCAGCTTGAACACTTGCAAAGGCTCCTAAGCAACTGTAAAGTCCAAACCGGGCGGTAAGGCCAGTGTCTATGATGAGGTCCATCCATTTCTCCAGCACCGTTTCTCTGAATGTCACTCCTCACAACCTATGCTCCGGCCACGTTACTGCTGCTGTCGGTAGTTTTCAGTATTTCATAGTTTCCAAACTTGTTCACGCTCCTGCCTGATACACCAGTCCCCAGTATTGTCCTGTTGTCCCACTGACTCATTTTTAAAGACCTGGTTCAAGCCTCAACTTCTTTTGTGAAATCCTTCATGAGGCTTCCCCACCTCTCCCACTCTGATCTAACACCCAGGGAGACTGACTGCTTCTTTCTTTGTGGTCCTTTGGATAGCATGTTACTATAAGTCATTTGTTCACATGTTTACGTTCCCTTTTAAGCCTATGAGCTCCTGGGTGAGAGGGACCATGTCTTATTCATTCCATCTTCCTGGTGCCAAGTAAAGTGTGAAGTATAAAGTAAGGGATCAATAAATGTTGGATCAAACTTCTAAAATCCACTTATGGTAACACTCCAAATACTGCGGCTCCTTCTGTCTCCAGGACCCTAGGACCAAGGATGCTCCAACATACACACTAAATCCCATGCAGGTCCCACCTAGCATCACAGAACAAAAGATATAAATGAGTCCAGTGAGATCAGGGCCTTAAATATTCCGCTTTACTTTTGAACCTGCAAAAGCTCTCCCTTTCACCACAGAAGGCAGCAAAGCCTCATTTCAGAAATCTGTTTCACTTTCATTCAAATAAGATGAACTCATCATCGACCAATCCAATGAAAACCCCCAGGCTCCATATTTAGGCCAGGCTGCACGCAACACAGTTGATCCCTCCCCTCTAACCTGGTCTCATCTAAAAGGCTGCAGGTAACCTATCAACCTGTCCTCATCATGATGGGATACCACCCAATGAAGAGCAACAGTAACACTCCTGCTAAAAAGGAGGGAGGCTGTATTCTATAAAGGTTGAGTGTGCACAGTGCAGATACCTCCCGGAGCTTTTCTGTACAGCACTCTGATGGGGGAAGTGGGGTGATACGGGGTAAGAACACTGGGTGTTCAGTGGCATCACCCACAACTGCTGTTGCTGTATCCCTCCTGGCCCAGAAAAGTCACACACAAGTTTGAGGAAAACACCCTCTAGTGTTTAAAACAAAAATAGAAACAAACTCCGCAAGCACATCTGCAGAGACAAAACCATCAAAGGAAGTAAATACAGCACTCTCAGCCCCTCGCTGAGTCTGTAAATTGCCCTGCCTTTCTGAATGTATTTCCACAGGGAAGAAGAGAATAGTGAAATGCCATCTTTTCCCAATTACTGGGGCATTTGCTCAGTCACAGAAGCCAACAATCAAATCCTTTCCATGAAAGCTTTCTTTGCCTTAACTAAGTTACAAATAAGCAAAAGGTGCCATTCCATCCTATTGTAAAAGAGTCCTCACACAAAGGGCACACAGGAAATCAAATCATTCCACGGAACTCGTGACCAGACACAGTCACTTTGGTGATGTTGGTAGGAGAAGTGGGTGTGCTTATGGGGAAGAATTACAGGGAATTATTTTCCAACTCTAGAGAAAATGGATGTTATTGGCATCTAAAATAAGTTGTTGCTTTTTTTAAGTCTTGTGAGTGACAGCACAAGAAAGACCCTTATAGAAATTATAGAAATCACAAATTTTCAATATGAAACTGACAATTTCCAGAAGCTTCAAAAACATAAGGCTTTAAAAAAAATCTTTCTCTAAAAAATAAGGAGGGAGGAGAGGGAAACAAAAAGATAACTGATATATTTAAGTAGCACGTTATTCACAGCATGACAAGAAACTAAGCCGTATTCCATTTTTTAGTGTGAACTATGCTCACCTTGTTCTTTGCTGGTCATGCTTGAGTTAGCCAGAAAATCAAAATATGCTGTTTCTCCAAACGTAAGGCAATTTTTTCCCATTGTATGTTTCTAACATAATAACTCTATTTAAAAAAAAAATCAACTCCCCCTAGTGATATTTGAAAACTTATTTAGCAGTAGGAAAAATGGTCACTCAATTTACTTTAGAAAACTTCATACAATGATAAATACAAGTTTTTTTTTTCCTTCTGACTTACAGAACAGGACATCTGTAGACAATTTGAAACCCAAGTCCAATTGTCCATTCACATTCTGTGGGGTATATGGTGAAGGTCATATTATTTTAGTTGTACTCTGCACTGCTGTCAGCTACTTCCTGTCCTGACAAAGTAATGGGGGAAAATGCCCAAGCAGATTTAGCACGTAAGTAAGATAACATTCCACTATTGTATAATCAGCATTGTAGAAAATAGTGCAAAACTCTATTCGAACAAGCCACTGAATCTTGCCACGTTTGAAAGAGGTTATAAGTTCATCACAAAAATAAAACCCCATGGGTCACTGTCTTAATTAGCTGGGGGTTGAGGAGGAAGAAACAGGACATAACAGTCTAGGTATTTGGGGATAAAATATTTCTGTTTTGAAAATGTAAAAGCAATATTCTTAGAATGGTCTTGTTCTCTAGAACGCTTTTGTTCAAATTCAGCCTAAGATAAGTTATGAATTTTTTAGACTGATTTAAAGAAGATATGATTTAGGAAAACAAATGTAAATAAAAACAATGCTAATGCCTCATACTTCTGCAATTTGTAAAAATTTATCAGGTTATAAGTTCCAGATTCAGTTACTTATTAAAATAGTCAAAGGAATCCCTTCTGAATTTTCTATTAGCTCTAAGCTATTTCTTAGAGAATAACGATTCCAAACTTCAGTGAAATCATAGCACCCTATAGTTAGTGTTACAATACTACAAATACACAGGCAGATCAAAAAGAATTATCATGAGCATGTCATAAATATTTACTGAATTTATTCTTTTTGATACAGAAATGAATCTAATTATAGTAATATAAACACTCAAGCTTTTTATAGACCAGCCAGTAGTCATTTAGATACAAAACAAAACAGAGAATTTGAACTGTGACTTAACACTTATTTTCCATTGGTCATCATGTTTAGGGCCCAAAAGAAAAACTTTAGAAATAAGATTCTCTCCTCATCACAATAAAAAGAGTCTCTAGAAGTGTTAAAACCATGCTGGAGATTAATATATTTTTGTTACTAAGTGCTCGTTGCTAACTGACCTTCAGAACGCAAAAATAAGGATTTAAATTAGCAGAATACATTCGTGAATTATTAAAATAGGTTATGATCACTTTCAGAAAGTAATATTGTAAAAAATACTAGAGGTATTTATTTATTTTTTTTTGTGACAGAGTCTTGCTCTGTCGTCTAGGCTGAAGTACAATCGCGCAATCTCGGCTCACTGCAAACCTCCCATTTCCCAGGTTCAAGAGATTCTCCTGCCTCAGCCTCCCAAGTAGCTGAGATTACAGGTGTGCACCACCATACCTCGCTAAATTTTTTTTTTTTGTATTTTTAGTAGAGACAGGGTTTCACCACGTTGGCCAGGCTGGTCTCGACCTCCTGACCTCAGTGATCCACCCACCCTGGCCTCCCAAAGTGCTGGGATTACAAGCGTGAGCCACTGTGCCCAACCAATTAGAAGTATTTTTTTAAGGAATTTTGTCTAATGAAAACCAACATAGGCCAGGTACGATGGTTCATGCCTATAATCCCAGCACTTTGGAAAGCTGAGGTCAGCAGATCGCTTGAGCTCTAGAGTTTTAGACCGGCCTAGAAAACATAAGAAAACCCTGACGCTACAAAAAAAAAAAAAGTTAAAAAATTAGTTGGGTATGGTGGCATGCACCTGTGGTCCCAGCTACTTGGGAGGCTAAGGTGGGAAGACTGCTTGAGCCCGAGAGGTCAAGGCTGCAGTGAGCTTTGACCATGGCACTGCATTCCAGCCTGGGTGACAGAGTAGTAAGAAAATGTCTCAAAAAAAAAAAAAAAAAAAAAAAAAAAAAAAAAAAA